TTTATGGCCCCCACCCACCGCACACGGGTGGGGGACGGGGGTGGAGGACAGTAGGTGTATATGTACAGCACAGCAGCATATACTGGGCCACTGTTCAGCAGAAATACTTGCCATTCAAGCGCAGATCCAGAACCTAATCTTGGGAGGGGCACTGGTAGATTATTTAAAGAAACAATATAGGCACAATTACCCCTACAGCACTTTGTATTGGTTATGCTGCCAGTATTGCTGTGGTGCCCTCCCAGAGTAAGTAGTAAAACTGTTTAAGAACAGTTTGACAACTTACCTGGGATCTTCCGGGATAGGGGCTGTAGAAGGGGATATGGGTCAGTAGTGTGTGTGAGGGATGCACTATGTGTGTGTGTGTGAGTGGTGGAGTGTTTGTGAGGGGTGCGTGTGTGAGGGGTGCAGGGTGCATGTGTGTGAGGGGTGCATTGTCTGTGTTTGTTGGGCAGCTTGTGTGTGAGGGGTACAGTGTGTGTGTGGGGGCAGTGTGTGTGTGTGGAGCAGGTTGTATGAGGGGTATAGTGTTTTTTTGAGGGGTACAGTGTGTGGGGTGTGTGGGGGGCAGGCTGTGTGAGGGGTACAATGTGTGTGGGGCAGTTTGTGTGTATGGAGCGGCAGTGTGTGTGTATGGGGGGTAATTGTGTGTATGGGGGTGTGTGTGTGTGTGTAGAGGGTAATTGTGTGTATGGGTGTAATTGAGTATATGGGGGTAATTGTGTGTGTATGGGGGGCAGTGTGTTTGTGTGAGGTGGCAGTGTCTGTGTATGAGGGAGTTATTGTGTGGTGTGGGGTCTGGGGGTTGGGAGGGCAAATTCATGAATATAGAACAACACAAAAGGTGTGGAAGAAGGATGGCGCTTTGTGGTGGAAATTTTTATTATTTGCTTTAGCTGCTGATTAAACTCTGTGGGTACTCCAAAACTCCCACTACAATATATAGACACCGAAAGACAAACAGCTAAGAGTAGGAGTACACTTGAGTATACTTAGTATGAGTGCAGCGCTATAGATGTGATTACAGAACAAATAATGCAAAACATACACTTACCCCTCAGAGTATACAGGGGTTATATATGCAAGAGAAAAAAACTGAAAAAATATATAGCGTAGTACTGTATAACACCAAGTAGGATAATTTCTAGGTATAGTGAGTGAAAATAAACTCACATTTTAATGAGCCTTTTATATGGATATAGGCTCTAAACACTTCAGCTTCCGTGCCTTTAAGGTAGGCAACTGTACCCTTTTCGTATAAGCTCACTTCCCCTTATTTCTCACAGCAAATGTATATTACAGAGAAAAAAAAGCCAAAAACACAGAACCTTTGGGTGCAGAATTAATGATATCAGTGAAGATAGATTGTAAAAAAGATGGGTGCTCACGTTGTGTAGAGCCTTTTGGTAACTGGCTCTAAATATAAAGATTTTGTGTCAATTTGTAGGGTGACACTGCCTTAACCGGATCCAAGATGCAAGGTGGAGATGGAGGTAGGTATGTATATAGAATTTACTTAAAATATATCAAACATAAACAAATAAAAAAAATATATAAAATTTGTGTTCGGTGCTATTCTTGTAACGTAACGTATGTATAGTATGGTGTAACCATAGGTATGAACAAGTCGGTTGAAGTGTGCCGAAACCGACGTATGCAGTAGGCCTGTAATAAAGAGGGCCCACCCTAGATATAAAATAATAAATTAAATTGAGTTGAGGGAGTGGTGGGTGGGGCCTTCCAAAGTCAAAACTACACGGTGATGCAGAAAAAGGGGGTGAGTTTAAATAGGATCACCACGCCCCTCCCACAACTCCAGGCAAGCCTTTACATTTGTGTTCGGTGCTATTCTTGTAACGTAACGTATGTATAGTATGGTGTAACCATAGGTATGAACAAGTCGGTTGAAGTGTGCCGAAACCGACGTATGCAGTAGGCCTGTAATAAAGAGGGCAAAAATAAGCAGTGTATTTGCCAGAAAATAGTTATTACATCGAAAAAAAAATGACAGAAACAAATGCCGCCCTAATTTCTAACACAGGTTGAGGTATATACAAAGCAAAGGCTGAGGACTTCCAACGGCCCAAAGACTTGATTACACGTACTGGAATATTTTGGCTGGAGGCTGCCCCTATCCGAAATGAATGGCCAGAAAAGTTGCCAGCGTTCAGACCTAGTCTGGTCAGTAACATGTGGACGTATTGCATGAATTTGGCTGTTGTTAAGACCTCTTTGTGTAAGACTAACAGCGGGATGTCAGATTGCGGTGGTAATGAGTGGAGGTATGTATCCAATACTTTCACCGGGCACCATCTGTTTGCAGTAGGATAATATGTGACTGGTACTATCTTGCCCGGCTGGCTTGTTTTCGTAACTGGTAGTGACAAGTTATAATGATCGTGTAGTTTGGTGAGATGGGACCGTTTGAGGAAGTTTTGTGCGTATTTATGTCAGTGTATGGTAAACTCGCCAGATCTAAGAAAACCATAATATGACAAGTAGATGGCTGTTTTGATTACCATGTTTGTATAGTGTTCAAATGGGGCAGTGTCCAACAAGTCGGACATATCCTTAAATAGCTGCTTATGTACTGGTAATCTTGTTGATGGAGGAGTGTTACTGGATTTCTGTACGCCTTTAAGAATGTTTTTAATGGGGTAAGAAGAGAAGAAACTAGAGTTATCTGGGTATAAGCTATACATGTGGTGTTGTATGCTGGTTAAATATAATTTGATGGTGTTGTGTGACAGTATGAGTTTAAGATGACAAAACGAAACAAAAGCTACCAGTGTGGAAATGGCAAAAAACTGCACCAAGTTGTGTTCTATCATAAACCTAGTTTGTGTGACGAGAGCAATCTCGCCACATTGCATTGGAGAAGCCTGGCTGCCCGTCTGCTGCCTTTGGACTATGGACCAGACTTTATGTAAATGTGTTAACCCAGATAGCTATGCCATGGAGCCCATTCGTGTAGTTAAAGACTTCGGCTCCATGGCAATTGAACTGTGTGAATAGGATCTGAGCGCTATTTGGTAGTTTTGTGCGCTCAGATCCCAGCTATCTGGGGATATGTGAAATGTCTGTGTGTTATGTGTAAAAGGTGACTTTATGTATTTTAAAGTGTTTTATGTCTTTTTGCAACCATGTGCTCAATGGAGTCTGCCTCTATCCCTGGATAATTTGATTATTTCCCCCATTGTCTCCAGGCTAGAGGTCTCTGTAAAACCTGTTTGAGCCAGATAGCCATGTGCCAGCCAGGGCTCAAAAGATACTTTTACTAACTTTTGAACCCCTGGTCTGATTCATGCCAGTTTTTAATATGTTGTTCCCCTGAATGGATTGATTGTGAATATGTAATTTTATGTGAATGCGATGTATGGTTTTAGAGTTATGAAAGTTGGGTAGAAAGTATGTTTTAACTGTATGTGTAATTGAGTTTCCTCTCAGGATAAGGGGAGGGAATATGTGGGATGTAACTGATATGTGATTGGTTGTTTTATACCTCCCTGTGGGCGGTCCTGTATTTGAAAAGACTGTAATAAAAACCAGGCTGGGTGTGCCAGCACCTCAGACCACTGCTTGACCCTCCACACGGAGCCTTGTCTCGTTCTTGGGGGGATTCACTGTATGCTGTTAAAGACTGATTGCCAGGAGTGTAAGCTGATTGTCTGCTTTTCCTGTTCATCCGCTAGCAGCTATTTGGGAGGTTCCAGTTCGGGAGTTGGAGTGCTATTTTGTATCCAGTTCGGGAGTTTGGTGTTCTGCAGTAGCTGTGCCTGTATCTCTGGAAAGGGGGCTGATCGCCTAAACGGTTTTTACCCCTTGTGTGCAAAACGGTCCGTTACAATTGGTGGCAAGCGGCGGGATCGTTCCTACAGCCAGAAGGACAGCTACAGGAGACACCATTTCTTTGGATTTTACAATTTGTGGGCAACGTATGTCTTAGTACAGCGACCAGGGCCAGATTAAGAGCACAGTGGGCCTGGTGCTGACAATTATGATGGGGCCTAATTACAGAATCATATCGACCAAAAACAGGAAAACACTCCCAAGCGTCATGTATCTGATGGAGATGGTGCTGGAGACAAAGAAAACAGCAGCGATAAGAAAACACATACCCTATGCTAATATCTCTCTAATTTATGTTTTCATCTTTCAAGTAAATCCATAACCCCTAACAGTGACACAAACCACGTAACCTGCAAAAGGGGCGAACGTGCCCAAAAAGAGGACATGTCTGCCCAAAGAATTAGAAGGCCAGCCAGGCATGAATGCATGTCAGGCTGCCTGCCAATCATGCAGCTGGCCAACTAAGTGCATACTATGCAGACAGCACCCTGAGCTTGGCATAAATGCATCTAATGATGCGCTCACTCAACACTTTCTAAGGACTGTCCCCTAGCACTCGCTGGTCCACTTGTCTCCTTACCTTCTTACTAGCAGGCAGAAGCTCCTGGTATATAGTCTGGGACAGAGAAAAGCTGTATGTAATGAGTGTAGAAGAAAGGGAACATGCCACACAGTGTTAGAGAGACCAAAGTCAGCATTACCTTAAAGGATCATTATAGGGTCAGGAACACAAACATGAATTCATGACCCTACAGTGTTAACACCACCATCTAGCCCCCCTGGGCCACTCATGCCTCCATAAATATAACAAAATCTTACTATATTCAAGCCTGAAGCTGTAACTCTGCATGCTATTAAACTCATAAAAACAACCAGTCTGCTGACATCATTAGAAGTGGTGGCCTGATCCAATCACAGTGCTTCCCCATAGGATTGGCTGAGACTGACAAGAAGGCAGATTAGAGTCAGAGCCAGCATGATTCAAACACAGCCCTGGCCAATCAGCATCTCCTTATAGAGATGAATTGAATTAATGAATCTCTATGAGGAAAGTTCAGTGTCTGCATGCAGAGGGAGGAGACACTGAATGTTTGGATGCATTTTAGGCAGCCATGACCCAGGAAGGATCTCTAACAGCCATCTAAGGAGTGGCCAGTGAAGTTATCACTAGGCTGTAATGTAAAGAATGCATTTTCTCTGAAAAGACAGTGTTAACAGCAAAAAGCCTAACGGTAATGATTCTACTCACCAGAACAAATTCAATAAGCTGTAGTTGTTCTGGTGACTATAGTGTCCCTTTAACTATATTCATTGTCAGCCAGTCCACACAAGTTTTGTTCCCATACATCCCTCTTAAGTTTCCATACTTAAGTAAGAGTATGTGAAAAGTAGTTAGGGTTACCACCTTTCTTGGAAAAAGAATTTGCATAATCAAATATGTATGGATGACATCACATGATGTAAAGCACAAGGAGTGACATAAGAGAAAATGCTGTAAAATCACCAAAAAACTAATTAGTTTGATTCTGCTGTATAGATGGATTCCTCCCAGTGCCCCCATGTCTCCCAGTACCCTCATGACTTAGTGCCCCCATGTGTCGATTACTCCAGGTCTCAGTGTTCCTATGTATCAGTGTCTCAGTGACCCATGTCTCCCAGTGTCCCCTAGTGTCGTGTCCCCAGGTCTCCCAGTGATCCTATGTATCACAGTGTCTCAATGCCCCATGTCTCCCCATGTATCCCAGGGTCCCCATGTCACTAGGACACTAGGAAGAGGGGGAGACCTGGGGACACTGGGAGACCTAGGGACACGGAGAAACCAGTGACACTGGGAGACTAGGGGACTCTGGCTGGGACACATGGGGACAATGGGAAAATAGGGGACACTTGAAGACATGGGGACACAGACACCAGGGACACAGACACTAGAGACCCTGGTTGAGGGACATGGGGACATTGAGACATGGGGGCACTGGGAGACATGGGGACACTGAGACACCAGGGCCACAGACACTAGGGACACTAGCTTGGAGACATGGGGACATTGTGACACTTGAGGCACTGAGAGACATGGAGACACTAGGAGACATGGGGACAGTGAGACACTGGCAGACTGGGGACACTGGGAGACTAGGGGGCACTGAGACATCAGGGACACTGGCTGGGAGACATGGGGACTCTGTGTCCCCATGTGTCTGTGTCATAATGTCTCCCAATGTCCCTTAGTGTCTCAGTGTATGTCTCCTTGCAGCCTTTCCCCCCATCACTTACGTCCCTGAGCTGTAGGCTGTCTCTGCAGGGTGGGAGTTGCTGTCTGGACTCTCTGTAGCTGTACCCCTGCAGATTAGTGAGTATAGATAGGCAGGGAGGGATATGCTGGAACTTCCTATCCCTGCCTGTCTCCACATACAGCGACCCCTACTGGCCAGTGCTGGTATTGCATAGTAATCTCTTGTTTATACTGAGAAAAATACCAGCATTTGTATTGCCAGTATCACTGCAATATTGGCACCAGCCAGGCAGCCTCAAATACTGGCTGTGCCAATAAAATAAAAGCCAGGTGGAATCCCTAAGAGTAGTGTGTGAAAAAAAAAAATGTAAAAAAAAAAGATTTTTTTTTTTTTAAATCAATGGGCCTATTCCATGGGCCTGGGCCTGGGCCTGGAGCTGCAGCTCCATCAGCCCCTATGTTAATCCGGCTCTGACCACAAGCTACCATACATTGCCTTCAAAGAGTTCAAGGAAGCAGAAGAAGGCATCTATGACTTTTTACAAGACTTTAAGCGCCAGTGCCTACTCCAAGACGTGGACGCCAGCGACTGGGTCACCATCCTTGCAAGCAAACTAGTGGGGAAGGCAGCGGATATTTACCGGGTTGTACCAGAAGAGCAGATCAGATTACCCAAATCCTCCTGGTCACCCCCGAGCAATACCGCTGAAAGTTTAGGGAGACCCGGAAAGGGGAGAAGGACTCCCATGCGGAGTGGGCATGCTGCATCACAAGGGCCACTCAGAACTGGCTCAACTCCCATCAAGCCAAGTTCCCAAAGGAGATCACCCAGCTCATCATGCTAGGGCACTTTTTCAATGGGCTCCCCAACGACAAGGCAACGATGCATTCGTATGTCATCCATATCAACTTTCGATGCCATTTACTGCGCCTACCATGGTGACCACGGGTAATGGGGAATCAGAGTTCAATTCCGGAGAGGGAGCCTGAGAAATTACTACCACATGCAAGGAAGGCAGCGGGCGCGCAAATGACCCACTCCCGACGCGGGAAGGTAGTGACGACAAATAACAATACAGGACTCTTTAGAGGCCCTGTAATTGTAGTGAGTCCACTTGAAATCCTTTAATTCTGATCAATTGGAGGGCAAGTCTGGTGCGACTGACCCGTGCGTGCTGCAGCTGAAACTCCACTATCGCCTACTGCTGCTCGCACAGTCTCTCCAGCATGTGCAAGGTGGAGTTCCACCTTATGGACACGTCACATATGAGGCGGTGAGCTGGAAGGCCAAAGTTACGCTGCAGCGCAGACAGGCGAGCAGCAGCAGGGTGAGAACACTGAAAGCGTGCACAGCCACTACAGTGAATGTCACATCCTGTTCCAAGTTGCGGATCAGTCTGGTGATGGCTCCTGGTATCCATTACTCTTTTTACTGAAGCTGCATCAGGGTCCTGGTATGTGGCCGCACAAACACTGGTGCTCAACACCAGGGGGCGTGCGGTTTCCCTGCACCAGACCCTGCTAATCCATTCCACACTGTGACTCCTAACTTCAACATCAGGCATACTGGGTCCCGGTCGTCCAACCGCTGCCCAGACAGTGTCTGGATCCCGGTCCCTGAACTGCGAAACCACTAATTGTTCGTTAAATCTTTTATGGTTCTTTTAATCGCTTCAACTGTTACTTGAATAACTGTGGGAATTCTAAAGATAATACATGCCGACAAGCACTAGATGGTCGCTCCGCTTTTCCACCCTGCTCCCTCCTATGCTGTGCTGGTGCCTCTGTTTGACCAGCGCCTCTTCCCCCAAACTGCACATGTCACTCGCGTGACCTTGATTCCATGTGAGGTCTAGGACCTCATCATCCTCCACACCATCTTCCACCCACTCCTCAACCCTGCCCTGCTTGCCGGTTTGCACACTGCAGAAAGCCACAGCAGTTGGCACCTGTGTTTTTCCAGTGTGTAAAGTCTGCAAAGGACATATGAAAATTGTTTTAGAATTGTATCCAGGCAACAGTTTTCCCTATAAACTGACCTCTCAGTTTGACTTGTAAAGGGTATTACCCCCGAATTACAATATTGTTATTTTGGTATTTGACGGTTCTATTTCACTGTCAGATATGAAGTGCAGGCCGCAAATGTACTATTTAGCACCCAAAAACATTTGAATTGGTCAAACTGCGCTGCAACCACAGTATTTGACAGTTCTATTTGAGTGTCAGATATGAAGTGCACACCCCAAATTTACTTCTTATGAACAAAAAATGGGAATTTGTCAAAGTGCGCTGTAAACACAGTATTTGACAATTCTATTTGACTCTCAAACATGAAGAGCATGCCCCAAATTTACTATTTAGCAGATTAGCACCCAGAAAAGAATGTTTACAATTGCACTGTAACCGCACTATTTGACACTTCTATTTGACTCTCAGATATGAAGTGCAGGCATCAAATTGACATTTTAGCACCGAAAGAATTAGAATTTTTACAACTGCAATGTAAGCACAATATTTGACGGTTCTATTTGACTCTCAGATATGAAGTGTACCACAGGCCACAAATGTACTATTTAGCAGCCCAAAAAAATTGAATGTTTAAAAATGCTATGTCACAGCACTATTTGACGCTTCTATTTGACTCTCAGATGTGAAGAGCACGCCCCAAATTTACTATTAAGCAGATTAGCACCCAGAAAATAAGAATGTTTACAATTACGCTGTAACCGCACTATTTGACGCTTCTATTTGACTCTCAGATATGAAGTGCACCCCACTAATTTACTTTTCAGCACCCAAAGTTTTTAAGTTTTTAAACTGCAATGTGACAGCAGTATTTGACGCTTCTATTTGACTTTCAGATATGAAGAGCACACCCCAAATGTACTATTTAGCAGATTAGCACCCAGAAAATAAGAATGTTTCAAACTGTGCTGTAAGCGCAGTATTTGATGCTTCTATTTGACTCTCAGATATGAAGAGCACACCCCAAATGTACTATTTAGCAGATTAGCACCCAGAAATAAGAATGTTTACAATTGCACTGTAACCACACTATTTGAATCTTCTATTTGACTCTCAGATACGAAGTGCACCTCACTAATGTATTTTTTAGCACCCAAAAAATTTGACTTTTAAAAACTCCGATGTAACCGCAGTATTTGACGCTTCTGTTTGACTCTCAGATATGAAGTGCACCCCACTAATGTACTAGTTTGCAGAATTATTTCCAAATCTGTCCCTAACAGCTGCATCATCCTCTCCCTACACTAATAAGAGCTCATGTGCGTGCGCGCTACGTGACTCCAGCTTATATATAGAGACTAGGTCACATGCTGCACTGGCCAATCACAGCCATGCCATTAGTAGGCATGGCTGTGATGGCTTCCAAGGGCACACAAATCAAACGCTTATTGATTGGCTGCCCTGCAGCCTTTCAAAACGAGCCATTAAATCGCCAAACATCGAACTCCAACCCGAACAAACAGTGATATGTCCGTGTTCGGGTCCGGGGTCCAAAAAACTTAATGTTCGGTACGAACCCGAACTTTACAGTCCGGATGCGCTCAACTCTACTTATATTAGTTAAAACAGGAATATACCGGAAAAAAGCTGGTCAGGTTTAATTTAAAAAATAATATTAATTAGCTGAAGAAATATAGGGTCCCACATTCCATTCTTGCAGAAGGAAAATTATCCAGAGATATTGACTTATCTGAGTTTAGGGATAGTTAATCTTTAATCAGGAAAATTAATCATCTGCAATGTAAAATTTTGGTTCAATTATTTTTTTAGTCACTTATTGGAAGGGATATTAAACTGATTTATATTGTGAGAAATATTGTACTTGTTAATTGTAATATAAAAGGTGTTTTTCCTGTGAGAATTGTAGCCAGCAGTGAGTGAGTTAATTCAAACTATTCAAACTGACAGCAAGACTGCTGTTCTGCAGTGAGATGCTATGTTCTGTGATAAGGAATGTCTAGCAAAACTGAAACTTTCAGTAGTAAATCTTGTTGAAAATTGCATCTATATGGATATAACTGTTGCTATTGAGCTATCTGTAATTGTGTCGAAACTGTTGCCATATTGTATACTTACGTTATACTTAAATATTCACTGATTATGGTCATGCATGTTACATATTATTATTATTATTATTATTAATTATTGTCACCATAAATTATATTTTTATAATTAGTTTGTGATTAATGTGTGAAATACAAATTCTATAATAACATGTACTCTAAGGTCTATACGAGTTAAAATAGTGGGCAACTCTTCGTTTTAAATCAATCAAGGGGAACAGTGCCAATATATCAATGTTTTATATAATAAAAATTATTAAATAATTTTTTGATAATTTTTATAAATTATTATTTTTAATATTTATCACCCCATACATATCCTCACAAGCTACCAGTAAGTGATATTGCCATGATACATAGCCAGGATGGCTATGTATCAAGAAAATTTTGGTAAGTATGGCATAGATTTTCCTTAGTCTTAATGGAGTATTTAAAGGAAAGCAGTCTTGGTATTATGATTGAGCCTCCACCCACAGACAGTAAGCAAAATAATTTAGACATTTACAATCTGAGCCCGGATTTATCCTCTCTGACTGTTTTCAGACAGACTGAAACCAAAACACAATTCATGCACATTCAGATCCTGTTTTGCAAACTCCAGACATTGTAGATTACAGTAAACAAAATTTAGAAATTGCAGTCTGAATGGGCACATTTGGTATACATACTTTTGTAAACAAACCTGATGGAGATTTCATTAATTGAGCAATGATGACAGGGCTGCAAGCAATTATATTGTGCAATATATTGTGCAATATATTGCAACTTTACACATATTTTGTTATCTGCACAAAAATCAACAACATTTCAACAAAAATGTTGAGACACACTAAAAAAAACCAATGTCGAGTGCACATTCATTGTATATCTAAACTACTTGCTATATTTGTTTCTGTTCCTTGATTAACTATGCCTATGAAATTGATATCTCATTTAAATGTATATGCATTGTCTTTGTCCAATAGATGTGTTTTAGTATTCATCTCAGGTTTTATCAGTAATATATAACTTTTAGGAAAAAATATACAGCCTAACAAGCCAGCACTTGATGCTAATATGGCAAATATCTCTACAGACACCATGTCTTTCCCTTTTGTGCTCAGATAGGCCGGGATCATTGCAATCCACGCACTACAGAACACCAGCATGCTGAAGGTGATGTACTTAGCCTCATTAAAACTGTCTGGTAATGTCCTGGCAAAATAAGCAATAATAAAACTAACAGCTGCCAGAACTCCCATATAACCCAGAACTGAGTAGAAGGCAATGACTGAGCCTTCGTTACACTGAATGATGATCCTTCCAGGGTAAGAGTGCATGTCCAGTTCATGAAAAGGAGGGGAAATGCACAACCAAAGAACATTAATCAGGATCTGGATAGATGAGCATATCAGAACTATGGTATTAGACACTTTGACCCCAACCCACATTCTCCACGAGCTGCCTGGTTTAGTAGCTTTGAAAGCGATGTAAACCATGATAGTTTTGCCCAGTACAGAAGATACAGCTACTGAGAAGATGATCCCAAAAGAGGTTTGACGCAGCATGCAGGTTATATCCACAGGACGACCGAGAAACAGAAACACACAGAGGAAGCTCAGCATGAGAGAGACCAGGAGGACGAAGCTGAGATTCCGGTTATTCGCTCTGACAATGGGAGTCTCCCAGAATATAATGAATATTCTTAATATGAAGACAACTATGAGTGAAAATAATATAGAGATAGAAGAGAAAATTGAAGTAATGTTATCATTTTCATATGACAGAAAGTCATAATTTTTGGGAATGCACTTTGTTTTATTCTCATTTGGCCATTCGTTGTCAGGACATGTTTGGCAGTTATCACTGTCTGTAATAAAACAAAACAAAAACATTAAACGTAATTAGCAATGCTTGTTAATATAATTTTGATTTACATAAATATGCAATTCTATCAAAGTAAGCAGTTTATCTAATCATGCTTTAGTGGGGATAAGATGGTATTTGCATTGCTTTGCTATTAAGAAAATTATATAAAACAACATGATGAATACTGAATAATGAAATACAAAACAAAAGATGTGAATGCCAGATGTGTGATAACAGGAACCATAACATCACTTGAATCATACAATGACCATTTTATAATATTACCAGAACTGGTACCTCTTTAAGGAGATTTTTAGTATTGCATATTAACTCTTTCACTACCAAACAATTTGCAATAAAAATAAGCCAAGTATTTTGGGTGTCCAGGAGGCAATGTTCAAAGGGATTTTTTCATTACAATAAGCAGAGGGATGTCTTTGAATTTGTAGGCCAGAGAAATGGCTGACACCATCCACCTGCCAATGGTAGTAGATAAAACTTTTTCCCCTGAAGGAATAACAAACAGGCTAAATGATTTCCTAGAAAGACCAATGCATCGTTGAAAAATTATTCGGCACCTGACAAGTTACAATTTATTCAGGAATCCAATTTATTCAAGAGCAGGGAGGGCTAAGGTGGAAAGTAGGCATGTGCATAGGAAAATTTTTCGGTTTGGTTCGGCATTCCAAAATCCGGGACTTCAGCACTTCGGAACTTCGGCAACTTCAGCACTTCGGCTATTCTGACATTCTGAAGTACCCGAATGTCCGAATTGCCCGAAATTCATCCAAATTGCACATGTCTAGCGGAAAGAAGATACCAGTTTTGGTCTGAAATCAGTATGTACAATCTTTGATTTATTTTTAAAGGATATATTTTAGAAACTCTGCTTTGTAAGTTAACATGTTTCTCCACTTTTTGCTATTCTTCTAACTGTATCATTAAGAGGTAATATATATTATCTTTTACAGAAGCTGGAAAAGTGTTGACTAGTAGGAGATTCTATAGGAATTGAGTCCATCATATTAAGAGTATTCATTATCATGGAGATAAAGGAGCCTATGTTATTACAATGTAGCCCTTCAGGTATTTGACCTTCTTTCTCCTCATATGACTGCTTTGTCTGATGAAATTTCAGTCCAAGCTCTGTGGTAGTTGTAGGTCTTTTATGAGTTTGTGAAATCTCCTTGAGACATTTGGCTACTGTCTGCTTAATAAAAGCCAGTCTATCATGAGATGAGGTTCAGGGACTTGCTGCTTACTAAATACACTCTCCACTCATCCTATTTACTGGCAAAGCAGGTTCTGTGCATGTGTCACATCAGATGAATTGAAGTGATATAGGTATAAGTTCTCCATCACTTTATATGCCTTTTTTGTATATGTAATATACATGGTGGACAAAAATGTAAATATATTTGACTCAACTTTCTTCTCTAGAGTGCAATCTATTACTAGAAGTTGCACAAGATGCCATTGGGGGAATACTGGGCAGCTGGGGCTGAATAAAGGGAAGAAAACTTTAAACATCCAGAAGAACTAGAGTACTGTAAAGTGTGGTTCCAAGAAACAACCTGAACTACTTAGGGGATATATAGAAAAACAAAAAATCTTTACACATCTCAGTCAGACATTTAAACCCAACATTCCACCTTCAGAGACTTTAAATGTCACATAGCTGAGATTCAATATATTTCCAGTTCGCGTTTCTAAAAACTCTGTGAATTGGCCCCTTCCTCTGGCCAGAAACTATATGTTCCAGCATCCTATATACTTCCTGCTGCCCTGCGGTCCAGTGGGCCACAAAATACACAAATGAAGGTCATACAAATGAGGTATCCTGTGCATAAAGAGGTCCATTGCTAGTGAACGTTTACTGCAAAATATTAACCGATTGCTAAGGGGATTCTGAATATGAAAGCACATTATTTAATGGAAAATTTGGTTTGCCAGAAAAGCTTTTGAAAATAATTTATCAGTTAATGAAGTTATATTTAAGAAAACAATGTTGTAAATAAATCATATTTCTTAATTTGTAATATTAACATTATCAAATTATCCACTATGCACTTAGTTTACTTAGTTGCAGCGACCTCTGTTGGCTGATTGGAAATGTGTCAATTTACCTAATGTTAGCATGCAGATTAGTGCAACCAAATAAGTACTCCCATGTATATATTTTTGATGTAATAATTGTGGTTGCTATTTCTCCAGTGTTATGTATATTTGTATTTAAAAGAACACTATAGGCTCAGGAATACATATTTAAAAATAGTGTTAACAATGCAATTTAGGCCTCTGAAGCCTCCTTAATATTGTTGAAATTTTATTTCAGCACCATGTGGTGCAAGCCCAGCGCCCCAATCCGCCTCCTTGACTTACATTATTAGAATTAATTATCTCAGCCAATCACAGTGCTTTCCCATGGAAAAGCAATGTATTACCGGAAATTGTTAATTCTGATAATCTCAGCCAAAGAGGCTAACGAGGGATTGGGGGTTGGGGGAAAGGAGGAGGGAGTGTAGGGGGGGGAGGCAGAACCAAATGCTGCCCTGGCCAGTTACCACCTTTTCATAGAGATATTTCATAGAAAATTATTCGGCACCTGACAAGTTCCAATTTATTCAGGAATCCAATTTATTCAAGAGCAGGGAGGGCTAAGGTGGAAAGTAGGCATGTGCATAGGAATCAATGCATCTCTATGAGGAAAGTTCAACCTTTTTGGGAAACAAAGGAGACAGAATGATGTATCTAAATGTTCTATCACAAGTCACAGAGATGCACTTGGACAATGCGTTTGCTGGGATATTGGGAAAGTGATAAATACAAACATCAGCAAGATGGAGCTATCAGCAGAGACCCATGAAGAACATAGGTGGAAACAACACCAGAAAAGGTTTGCCTCCAGCTATTTTTGAAACCTAATGAAAATACTGTAACCTCCTTGCAGACATCTAATTAAAACTGAATTCATGCTGATCTATTTGGGAAAGAAAAAATACAATAGAAGATAAAGAACAGGTAACTTACCATTTGTAAGTTGAGTGGAGCATTTAAATACAATTATATTGATGTATAAATATATATATATATACCTGTTACATTGGACATTTCTCCCTCTGAACACGGGACACAGTCATAGCAGCACTTGTGATATCTTCCTCCAGGGGCCTTCCTGTATCCATAATGACAAACTTCATTGCATCGTGCTCTTGGGATCTGGAATAAAGAAAATACATGTTAAAGTATAACATTTTTAACTACTTATGATTCTTTATTTATTTATAAAATATTTTACCAGGAAATATACACTTATGATTATCAGAGTTAGTAACTACTCAGATCTAGTTTATTTCCTTGTTTTTCTTTAGAGATCAGTATATATCAGACTTGGAGATTCATTTCAGACTGAACTGCAAATCCCTTGTATGAATCCATTATTTCTGTTTCTTTTTTAAAACAAGAAAAAGGATGTAGCACTTTAGATAGTTACAAAATTCATAAATCACCTTTTTAGTTTTAGCATGGAGGCGAACACACGAAAATTGCCAGCTACAGGAACATAGCTGGCAATTTTCGGATCGAAAAGAGTTTGAATATATTTAAACGTAAAAGATATAACTGTATCAGTACAACGAATAAAAATAATCAAACAGTGGATTTTTATGTTTTAAATCCTATCTTTGGAGCAAAACTCAGATATATCATAACGTTAGAAGGGTGAACTGCAGCAGGAGAATATACTAACATGCAGAGTGTTACTAATTGAAAGACTATGTACAAACTGCTCCTCTTTAAATTAATGTTGTACTGAGAACTTGTGATTATCGGATTAAACATCCTAATCTTACTATGGAACGAAAACACTGCATTTTTAGATTATGTATTACCATGCAGAGTGTCATTAATTGACGTGTTACTGAAAAACCGCTATTTATTCGTTACCTTTTATTCTTATGTTGTTATTGAAAATGTGTTACTATTGGATTAAACATCCTAGCTTTATTTAGGAATGATAAGACTGTATTTGGAGATCACAATCTATACATGAGTCTAGATATTCATTTATAGTCTTTTAACTATTTAAGAATTCGAGTTGAAGAGACTTGGTGTTTATAATTTACATGGAAATAAGTAACATATATACAAGTTATAAAATTGCTGAGCACTGATATCACGTTTTTATTTTTTGTCCCTATGTGCTTATGGAACGATATGGACATTAATAATACTACCCCCACGGACATTTATGTGAGAGATCAGAGTATTGAATTCTTTTAATCAGCTACGAATAACTTATGTGGACATATAACTCTCTGCATAGAACTGGTGGAATTATAGAGCCTAAGGATGACGGCATGAGAAGGAGGCATGGACCGCACACGCCGTACCTGTGGGTGGTATCGGCGTGTTATGGAACTCATGCACGAACCCCCTGCCCGCCTTTTTTACGGTATATTATTATTATTATTATTATGATATTTATAGAGCGCCGTCAAATTCCACAGCACTTTACAATGGGTGGACGAACAGGCATGTAGTTGTAACCAGACAAGTTGGACACACAGGAACAGAGGGGTTGAGGGCCCTGCTCAATGAGCTTACATGCTAGAGGGAGTGGGGTAAAATGACACAAAAAGGTAAGGATAGTATTAGACTAGTGACAGTTGCAGAAGAGGAATCAGTCAGGAGCTATTAACAGTTTAATTCATATGCTTTTATGAAGAAGTGGGTTTTTAACGATTTTTTGAAGGAGTGGAGACTGGGTGAGCATCTAACGGAGGAGGGAAGCGAGTTCCACAGGAACAGTGCAGCCCTCGAGAAATCTTGAAGGCGAGCATCAGAGGTGGGAGTACGGACTGAAGATAGACGTAAGTCTTCAGCAGATCGTAAGGGCCTAGATGGGACATACTTGTGTATAAGGGAGGATAGATAGGTGGGAGCAGCATTATGTAGAGATTTGAAACCAAGAACCAGAATTTTAAATTAAGCTCTATATTTTATAGGAAGCCAATGTAGTGACTGACAGAAGGGTGAGGCATGGGAGGTGCGGGCGGACAGGAAGATGAGCCTCGTCGCCGCATTCATTATGGACTGTAACGGCGCAAGTTGGGAGCACGTAAGACCACTGAGAAGCGTATTACAGTAGTCAAGGCGAGAAAGGACAGTGGAATGGACCAACACCTTAGTCGCACCTGGCGTTAAGTAGGGGTGGATGCGCGCAATGTTTTTGAGATGAAAATGACAGGATTTGGCAATAGATTGAACATGAGGCTTGAAGGAGAGGTCGGAGTCAAAGAGGCACCTAGGCAGCGAGCCTGCGTGGTGGAGCTGATGGTAGCACCGTTGACTTGGAGGGAGACAGACACAGGAGTAACAACACTTGAGGAGGGAAAGACCAGAATTTCAGTTTTGGTCAAGTTTAGTTTAAGGAAGTGGGCAGCCATCCAGTTAGAAACAGCAGAGAGGCAGTCAGAGACACTAGTCAAGAGGGACGGGGAGAGATCAGGAGAGGACAGGTAGATTTGCTTGTCATCTGCATAGATATGATATTGGAAGCCAAAGGAGCTAATGAGTTTACCAAGGGAGGCAGTATAGATGGAGAACAGTAGGGGACCAAGGACTGAACCTTGGGGCACACCAACAGAGAGGAGTTGGGGAGAAGAAGCAGAGCCAGAGAAAGAAACACTGAAAGAGCGCTGGGAGAGGTAGGAGGAGCACCAGGAGAGAGCAATATCTTGTAGACTGATATTGCGGAGGATGACAAGAAGCTGTTGATGATCAACAGTGTCAAAAGCCGCAGACAGGTCAAGGAGAATTAGGAGAGAGTAGTGACCACGAGATTTTGAAGCAAGTAGATAATTGGATACTTTGGTCAGTGCCGTTTCCACAGAGTGCTTAGCGTGGAAACCAGACTGAAGCGGGTCTAGCAGAGAGTTGGACTCGAGGAAGTCTGTCAATCTCGCATACACAATTTTTTCAAGGATCTTGGATGCAAAAGGCAGTAGCAAGATAGGACGATAGTTGGATGGGGAGTTAAGATTGGGCTTCTTTAGAATATATAAACAAGAGAAGGAAACTTCAGGACATTGAATTAATTCACCCGGCTGAAGAATCCATGATTCTAGTGGTGAAACGCGTTCCGGAGTTTACAAACATATATTCTTTTTATTTGTTATTTTAAAAAGTTTATTAATACATTTTGAAGTTTTATTTTGTTCAGAACAGAAGGGAGTGCAGTCCCTAATCTGCACAACACCTAAGAATTGAGTCATTATTGTATGACTCCAGATTTGGAAGTACCCACTTGGGATTCTTTATTTTACACTAGAAATACTACTGGCAATACTGCGCAAACGTTTGTATTTCTCATCTTCCCCAGGGAATAAGATCTATACCGGCAATAGGTGTGGGTCGCCTAAACGGACCCGGAGACGATTTAAACCAGAGCTGGGTCTATAGCTCTCCGTTTGTGAGTGTATACACACTATAATTGAAATTGATTACCTGATTGTTAATGATCTACACTATGTTGAATTATTTTTTATAGGTTCTTGTATATACTGAATATATTAGAAAAGTCCGCCTCCTAATTAAGTGTGTTCGCCTCCATGCTAAAACTAAAAAGGTGATTTATTAATTTTGTAACTATCTAAAGCGCTACATCCTTTTTCTTGGTTTGCATCTTGTATTGGTGGTAAGGTAAAGCATCACTTAGATGTATAGCAGCTAATTAGAAAGATTTGGTGTATAGACACATTGATATTTTAAACAAATAAGCGCTGGTATTTATCTATATTGTTACTTTTTTAAGCCTTTCCTTTTTATGAATTAACTGTCCAGTGACTTTTAGAAGCTCTTTCTCTGTCTGATCATTTGAAATTTGGTTATTTTTCTAGCTTCGCTGTTACATTCGTCTGGTTCTTTACCAAAGCGAATAAAAATAAGGGGTCTCATTGGTCTATAGCCAGGTCCATCACTCATTATATTGCAAATGTCTTACAGATATCTTTCTGGACAGAGTTGATATAATATGAAAGTGTAATTTGTACATTGGAAATCGTGAAGCAATGAAATAGGTGACAAGCACCCAAGGGACAGTATCACACATTTACACAGAAAAGGGGAATCATGCCAGTAGTCTACTATTTCCATAACCACTAAGTAAGACTGAGTGACTCTTTAATTTCACAAAAAAAAGCACTGAATGTATGAATCCATCCTAAACAGACATAAAAGGAATGCTGAATGAAACAGTGACTATTTACTTGGGTTATTTTACTGTAGTATGTCTTTCAAACAGGGTAACACGTGTGATTAGTGGTGCAACATTATCCATAGAGATGGACTGAACTAGTTTAAACGCCTCTCAATGAAAAGCTTCAATTATAATTGTGACAGTAGGATTTCACATGGACATTGTAGGGTCCTGGACTATTCCTATGTTTAAGTCACCCCGTGTCTTTTGTGAGTGCAGGGTGTGTGTGTGTAACATTGTTGTATGGGGTTAAATGTTAGTGTGCTCTCCTGTCTTGATAATGCTTGCAATATACTAGGTGGATTTGGCCGTGGAGCCTGTACAGCACCACCTGCTGGTTGCAAGGATCTAGCAACCACTGTAGGCACTACCTGAAAAGCAATGATTGCTGATTTGCATATTCAGGTAGATTTGCATATTGCTGTTTCTGCAGGCAGTGAAATATTCAATTAACTTTAAATTATCTGATGTGTTGTAGAATCTTGTTTTTGTGATATGATTATTGTGACAAAACCCTTGTTTCTCTCTACCTTGAGATAATTAAGTTTGCCCAGGGCAGTTAAAACTTGTTCATTTCAGTTTAGATTTTACTGTAAATTGATTGGTCCCTGTAGCTGTGGGAGTAACCCTTGCTGGAGGACCTGCATAAAAGGCCGAGCTGTGGCCATCAATAAAGCAGATCGTTTTACCCCTTCATGAAGTCTTGGCTCATGCTTGGGGGATTGGGAGCTATATTTCACAACACCTTTGAATTTACTTGGATTTAGGGAGACGCTGCAGGGATTTACTCAGCTGTAGTGTAAGCTATCCATAACAATTATTAAAAAGTCTTTACTCAAACTTCTTTCAGACACAAGATGTAACTAGTATTACAGACTTTCATTGTATATGGATGGTCACCACATATGGTTCATGTTAAGATAGATTGATGAAGGCCTGTTGATAGTAACCTTTGACCTAGCTTTGCAAGCCAGACTCCCTGTGTATTACCCAAGGCTCAAATTTCTAAAGGCATTTATTAATTTAACCATATATATAGAACTTCTTTTGTGTATCTTATATTTTATCGCTTAAATATAATGTATGGCTTTAATCATAGATTTCAAATGATACTAAGCCACCACCCTTTTTCTATTATAGCCACTTATTTTAAAGTAAGGCAACCTTATGTATACGTCCCTATATAACTGAATTTTAAACCTATAAAATTGATTGTAGCTAAGGATTTTTACCAATACATTTAACATCAAAAATGGACATTGCTCTGTATTGGTCATGACATGTGCATTGACGTATGCTATTTTGGATTTTGTGTATGTTTGAATAAATATACATTTTTGGTTGCAAGACACTCTGATTCGATTATTAGAACACTGGTGTGTGACAAACAAACATCTCAAGAAAAGCTCATTTGCTACAGGCAGGAGAGATATTTTGTGTTTGTCTTCTCCACTCCTTTATGTTGTTATGTTATTATAATTCCCTATATAAATTCTAACCTGTTTTGGTTATTTGTATTTTATTAAGTGAGTAAGCTTTATGTATCAAACGTATGGGCTAGTCCCAAGTAAAATAAAGTATTGTTTGTTACTTCCTGTATGGATTTTTAGGGATCCTACTGAATGAGGAAACATCACTGTGGACCTGTTTGCTGGCTGAAGGATCCCTCTAGCCCTGGGACAAGTCAAGAGAGCTAGGCCTGAGATCCACAAGTGCCTTTGTAAAGGCTATTATCAGATCTCCAGAGCAATATTACTCACATGTACCAGAGCCCTATCACCCATGGCTCTGGGTTTGCAAGGCTCTATTTGAGAGGGAAATATCCCACAATATTTGCTAATAAGCGGGGGAGATCTATAAGAGACATAGTAGTTAGGGCGGACTCGCAGACCACAAAAAATCAGATGTTTATCTCCAAACCTGTTCATGGAACATTCCCCTGTTAAAGCTGCAATCATTGCAGCGGGATAATTAAAGGGGAATTTTGCACCCACCCCAGGACAGGACAGTATATCAAATTAAAAGGGTTTTTACTTGCCAAACTGATTTTGTAGTTTACTTACTCAAGTGTCCTTGCAGGCTTGGCTATGTAGGCAAGACGATTCATGCCCTTAAGAGTGTGTGTCTCAACACAAAACTGCAATTCGCAGTCCTACTTCGGATACACCAGTCGCACGACACTTTAGAGAAAATAGACATAATGTCTCTGCACTACATTACCAAATATTGGAAAGGGTACCCCTCACTCACGAGAGGAGGGAATAGAGAAAAAATACTGTTGCAAAAAGAAGTTTGCTTGATGCACCTCCTGGATACAGTGTAACCTCATGGTCTCAATGAGAAGCTTGAGTGGCACTGGTTCCTCTAGGTACATCTTCTATGTGCCCGCTTCGGGATGCTTTCTGGATCAGGGTATGTATATATCTTTTGTATCTTACTAGTGCATGATATTGCTATGTCTCCAGCCAGTTAGTCCCTCTTACTTATGACATCTGGAATGGCACTCTGTTCCCACAAGATAGTGAGGGTGGTCTCTATATATATATTTCTGTTTTTTTCTACTTAACTGTTATTTCTATACTGTATTATACACTTCACTGGTTGGGTAATCTGTGTAGTTATTTCTGCTCTCCATGGCTCTGCACATATATATTGTAATTCTATATATGCCTTAGGGCTTGCAGATTTTAGCATAAACTTAATTGTATCTTTATAAACATGCTTTATAGCTTTAGGAATTTATATGTGCTCAAGTATTTGTTTATTATAGTAATGAATGTTGCTTTAATTACTCTGATGGTCAAGAGTGTGCTTTTTCCATCACTTGCTGACGTTTGTGTGTTCTTTTGATAGCTTAAAATGCCGCCTTGCTATTATTTCCAGACAGTTTAAAAAACAAAGAAACAAAAAAAACCAAACATTTTTCATGAACGTGATGATGTCATCACGCATATTTCTGCAGATCCAGGAAGTGACTGGAATCATCAAACATGCCAGAATGATGAAAATGTACTGCACATCTGATCCTGCTTCTAGATTTGATTACCTGGGGGTGGCACTTTTGGGTTATGTAAGAACTATTTTTTATATATATTGTTGTTATCTTGCATAAACTGTAGGACACTAGCATTGAGAAGGGCTGCTGCCTGAAATGTTTGCTGCTTTAACTTTGTCCTCAAATAAATTGAGGTATCACCTGGGTGTGCACACCTCTACTAGATGCACAGGACTCTTATTTGTTTTTTGGTAAAATAAATGCTTAATGATCAAGATATAAATTGGTAGAAACTAAGAAATGCTTAATGGCCTCGGTACCTATCTGGTGTGGGATGATGGAGTAGAGTGACGAGACATCTGCAGTAACCAGAATGTCCCCCTTCCTCCACTCCACCTCCTCCAACAGGCACAAAATCTAGGTATGCCCTAGTCTTTTTCACCATAGGCTGCAAGAATTGGTTGATATATTCCAACAAGGGAGCTGACACCGAGCCTATACCCGAAATGATGGGTCTCCCTGGTAGTGTAGTTTCATGTTTGTGTATCTTGGTTAGAAAGTAATACACCGGTATTCTCGGATGTGTAACTGATAAATATTCATATTCAGTTTTAGATATAACTTTTGACATCATACCTCTAACCAGATATTCTAAGAAGACTTTTTTTTTATATTTCTTGTTGGGTCTTCTGTTCATTTTTCATACATTGCCCCATCATTAAGTTGTCTAAACAATTCTTCTATATTGTATTCTTTATCCATAATGACGATGCCACCCTCCTTGTCAGCTGGTTTAATAACAACTTAGGTATTATCTCTCAATTCTATTAGGGCCTCTTGTTCTCCTCTATTTAAATCCATCCTATTTTTATTGATTCTCTTTATGCTTTCAACTTCTCTCATCACCAGTTCTTCTAATGAATTCATGGAGTTGGTCTTACAATTTTTATTGAAGAAAGTAGACTTCTTCTTTAATTTAGTGTATCTTTTCCCCTCCATGTATTGTGTATTCTCTTGATACTCCCTTTGTTATATCCATCTTATGTCAGAAATATCTCTTTATACATAATGTTCTGACAAATTTCTTAAGGTCTATATAGGTGGAAAAGTGGTCTAAATTAGCTATGGGACAGAACTTAAAGCCCCTAGCTAAAACCCTATTCTGCATTGGAGTAAGGGTAATTTTTGAAAGATTATATATTCCTGTAATATCTATATCCTTCCTCTTTTTCCTTCTTTGAATCTTTTGTCCCCCTCTTGTTCCTCTCTTTCTATTCTTCTTTTTAATGGGGAACTTGGGACATTTAGTTTGATTCTCTCTTTTCTTTGTCGGTCCTATTCTAAAAAATCTTTTGATTGTTCTCCTTGGTTTAATGCTTCATATCTGTTTTTAATAGATATGTCAGATCTAGTGTAGATCTAAAGAAGGAAAAAGAGGAAGGATATAGACGTGTTTGTATATTGTAATTACTTACCATTATTGTACTGTTACATTATAAAGTATCATTACCTCAGATAACCTCACTACTGGTTCAAATGCTGTAACAAATGCCAGAAATGACTGCCAATCGTGGCAATGTCCACACTTTATTAGCCAAGACAGAAACCCAATAAAACCAGATAAGGATAAAATCTAACAGTAGAATTAATAACTGTAAAAGGGTAAATGCACTGATGCGTTTCAACCGATACACAATCTTATTAAAAGTTTATGCACTGTGGTAGTTGTGACCATTGGCAGTCATTTCTGGCATCCACCCTTGTTACAGCATTTGAAGCAGTGGTGAGGTTTTTGATTGGGAGAGATCCAGGAACCTGACTAAAGGATAACTAACAGGAGCTTCTAGAGTCTGAGACAACAATATGAGACACAGAAATGTGTACGTTATTTTGCAAAATATTTTCACAAATGTAGATTTGAGCTATTCTCCAGAAATTTTCTTATTTCACATAAATTGACCAAATATGGGCAATAAAACAACATTTCTTATTTTACATTGTTTTCTACTAGTCAAAATAATAATTACATACAACTGAAAAAAAAAATCTCATTGTCCTTTATGGCAAGATGTCATAAACCAGCTACTGTTTTAAATTAAAATGGAGTTGAATATTACTAGGATTCAATGTAACTTGCCGAGGTCTTTCCTGATTTGGGAAGAATTGTCACGAAAATTGGAACATTATAAAAATAATATTATTATTTACATTATAAAAATTAGCTTTGCATTGTTGATAACTGAAAAAACGTCAAACAATGCAGTGTCTATCTGTACCTTAAAACACCTATGCTCACTCCTTTCGGTATTGGATGTATTTGTTTTATAAAAAGGGATTTCCAGGAATTGGAATACTTTTATGTTTTCTTCTGTGTTTGTTGTATTTCTTTAAATATATGTCTATTGTCCTAAAGCCATTAATTCTGAAAAATTCTTGGGATGTGGTAAAGACCTTCTAAGAATGAAAAATTTGAATAAGACTTCTTTATTATTTTATGTCAAAATTAAATGAAAATCAATAAAATATAAGAATTGAACTGATATAAAAAGAAATAAAAAAGAAATGTGTGAGTTGGATAGTTTATTATCATTGTTGTGTTTTTAAGAATTGCTTTATTATTGTATTATGCTGCCAGATACTTCGAGAATGGAAGATTCCCATAAACATACCAGAAAGACTGATGAAGTCGAAATTCACACATCACTCTTCCACAAAAATGTCCAATGATTGGAATACTGTACCTTCAGCTAAGTGAATGCATTACCCCATTTTTCCTGATCAAACATGGCAGCATTTACTTATGGGTTAGCTCCTCCCCTCATAGCAGAAAGGACAGGAAATATAACTCTGAAATTGGTATAAAAAGATCCTCCCACTTCCCATCAGACAGTCTTTTTGTTCCTGTCCTTCACAGCAGTTTGGAAGGAGCCTGCTTAAGCAGGCCTAGATTTTCTTTTATGCTCACCAGGCAATATTTTTGTAGCCCTGCAAGGGTTCAGCCTCTAGTCCCTTAAGACCCAACAACAACACTATTGTAAGAGTGACTAGCCTGGGTACCCCCTTTAGGGTCGGACCTAATCTCTCCCTCAGGGGAGGAAAATAGTCCACTTTATGCATGCCAGGGTTCAGCCTCTTATCCCTGAAGACCCAGCAACAGTGACCTACTTCTCTTCCTCAAAGAATGAAGGCTGTCCACGACATACATGAAGCCATGCCAGGGTTCAGCCTCTTATCCTTGAAGACCCAGCAAACAGGACATCTGTAAGAGTTGCTGTAACAGATCACTTGGCACCCCGACTGGTTACCTCCGTTGATGAATGTTCCTAGTGCTTCCCAAGGGCTCCAAGCACTCCACTTGACACCATAAGCACTGCAGACCCCAAGAAACACCGCAGCTTGGTTGGGGTCTTGCTGTCTCCTACCCACCCTGGACCTACGACAAGGCTCCAGGTTCCAGTGGGTGAACCTTTCTTTCCCCAGAGAGTGAAGCAGGAACAGGAAGAAGCTCTTACAAGAGCTTAGTGATTATTCAAGGGAGTATGAAGAGCAGACTTTCAGGCCAGAGGCACACCCCCTGGACTTGATGGAAAACAGGGACAAAAGGAACATAAACCAATAAAAACATAGTTTTACATTCAGTCACTACCATAAGTGTACACAATCCTTCCCCTCTGCCTGTGATATAATTAACAAAGACAATGGACTAACTCAATTAACTCTAAGCAGAAAAAAACATAAATTTTTACAAACCCCAAAACGTATCCCAAAATACAAGATATCCCCAGATCCCCTGATAGCCCCAATCTGGGTGAACAACATACCCCAAAATCATCCAGATCGGTTCAGGGGTTCAGGAATTTCCTGGAAGTCATATTTTTGCCCCACTATGCACATGGTCCTATGCCCAAAACAGTTCCATACACTCGACGACAAAACACTGCTGGACAATTTAAGATGGCCGCCGCCACATGTTTGAATCTGTTCCAGTTAAAAGTCCAAGGGGCAGAAACAGTACTTTTGAACATGGGTTATAACAGGGCCCATAGTCCCAGGGTAAGAGGCTGGAAGCAGGCCTCTCCAAAAAAGAGGTCACTTTTGCCACAGTTGACAACCTGGGTACCTCTTTCAGCAACCAGGGGTCTGACCTATTGTGACAAACTCCCCTTTTCAAGTGAGTTTGCTATGAGTTCTTGGAGGGAACTACTTGCCAGCCTTTTACCCTGTGACTATGGCCTGTAATGGAGCTCCCTGTACTCCGACCTAGTACCCTCCGTTGATGGATGCTCCTAGCGCTTCCTGAGGACTCCAAACACTGCAGCAGACACCACAACCACCGCAGACTCCACAACCGCCGTAGCTTAACTGGAGTCTCGCCGTCTTCCTTCCACCCTGGATCAGCTTCTGTCCTCCAGGACCGTGTGGGCAAGACCTTTCCTCCAGGAGAGCGTAACAGGAACAGCTCTTAAAAGAGCTAAGTGATTAAAAGCTCAGGGGAATATGCAGAGCATAGCAATCCCTAGTGTGATATAGCAGTTCCCTCCAATAACGAGACAAGGCTACGTATTGAGGGTCAAGAAGTACTGTCTAAACCTTTATTTCCCTTGGGACCAGCCCATAGGGTCAACACAATAACATTGTTGTGAAACCTCAATAAAATCAAAAACAGTCAAACCATAGCAGGCAACACACAGTGACTTATCACAACACAATGGCACATTTTTAAAGAGGTGGGGGAGACAAAATTTAACAGTAAATATCTCACCTGCCTGCAGAATTAGCAATATGCAAATCTACCCGAATATGCAAATGAACCAGTCTTGCTATTCAGGTAGTGCATATTGCTGTTGCTACCAACAGAGGGCACTAGAAAAGCTCCATAGCCAAACCCACCTAGTTGGTAGCAAACCTCAGCAGTACAGGAGAGCAGGCAATACATTTCACAGTACACACACACACACACACACACACACTATAAGCAATTACATTACACACACCCTGCACCTATAATGGGTACAGGGTGACTAAAACATAAGATAAATAAAGCAGCCTACATAAATAGTCTGTCTGAAGGTAGACTAGGGGCTTTAAAGCCAAATACATGAAAGAGTCATAGTCACAGGGGAGGAGGCTGGCAAGTAGGCCTCTCCAGGACCAAGTGGCGAAGGGCACTTCGTCACATGGCCCTTGCAACAGAATTGGTTAATATACTTTAAACAGGTTCTGTTCGTGCAATTGGGACTATATGGTCCGTTTACCGAACAACCGTGAACAGAGACCACCCTGGAGTTTGTTAACACCTAATAACAACTTGGAACGTTTCTCACCCCAGTGTTCTAATTGTTCGTCTGGGTGGCCGCGATTCCTATGACCAACCACGATGTGGCGGCATTCTTGTTCACATGAATGCAGGCAGCGGTGTTTGGGCATGAATCTCATGGAACTCAAATCAGATACAGACACTCTCGAACACCGCTGAACTTCCATCATCGCCTGCATTATTTTCTATTCAGCTTAGAAGGGCACTGTTCAGTGAGATCAATCGTCTGGATGAAGGGAACAAGCTCCAAGGTAGGACCATTGACTCTGTTTGGTAGTTTGTTTGTTTGTTTGTTTGCAAACTACCGAAATAGACCAGCTGCAAAGCCTATTTCTCTGGAACTGTTATGGGGATATGTTATGTTATGTTTTGGGGTGTTTTCTTGTACTTTGGGGAAAATGTGTGTTTTTCTGCCTGTGGATAATTAGGTTATTGTATTAGCTACCTTAATTGTATCACAGGCAGAGGGGAGAGATTGTGTAATGTATGTGGGAGTGTCGTTCATTGTTACACTGTTTTTATTGTCTTTCATGTTTTGTGTTCTGTGCCCCACAAGGTCCACCTTGGTGTCAGCCTTATTGGGAAAATTGTATAAAAGGCCAGTGTGTCCCATTAAACTCCGATTCCTGCTTACACTCCAAAACTGTGTTTCATCCAGTTATTGGAAATAAAGAAGATATGCTCCCGTGTCTGCTGTTCCAGTTTGCATGAGAGTCAACGAGGAAAGTCCTTGTAAGGACTAGAGCTAATTCCCCATCTGGTTCCATAGTTCCCAGGACTTAGTGACGACCAGTGCCTGAAGATGTCAGAGCTAATTTCCCCTTCGGCTCCAGGAGGGAGGTGGCGGTTCCAGGGCCCCAGTCAAGCTACGGTGACTGAGGGCAATAAGTGCTGTGGTTTGTCCCCTGGTCCAGCTAGGAAGTGGTCCTTTGGCGGAGATATACCCAGTCGAGGTGCCCCTGAGGGGATGACAGTAATCCACTGCATACATGAGGTCAAGTTGAGTCTAAGCCTCTTTTCTCTGAAGACCCAGTCAAACTGCACTTCTATAAGGTGACTGTAACAGACCGTTTTGCCCACAAGAGGTTAAAAACCGTTTAGACGATATTCCCCTTTCAGATGCACAGACAGCTACTGCAATCACCAATCTCCCGAACTGCAAACTACATGAATTCTCCAACTCCCGAACAGGAAACTCACGAATACTGGAAACAGCTGAACAGGAAAAACCATACGAAAGGATTACACTCCTGGCAGTCAGCATACAATCCAGTTACCCCAATAACGAGACGACACTTCGTTTGAGGGTTAAGCAGAATCTGTTTACTGGCACAAAGAGAACCTTCATTTATGCAGGTTTCCCTAAGATAGGACCACCCATTGGGTTTTACAAAACAACCAATCATACACGTATATTACAGAAACACTCCCAGCAATTACATACAAAAATCCTCCCCTCTGCCTGTGATATAATTATGGCACACAATGGTTTAACATAATTAACACAGGCAGGAAAAACACAGTTTTTATTTTTTTTGAATATTTAATCTTTATTTTATATTTTTTTCTTTTAAATCTCATTAAATACATATATCATACAAATACAAATATCATACAAATATACATTTATAATACAAAAAAAACAACACAGCAGCAAAATAGGGGAGGGAAAAGAAAAATACATCGAAAATACTTCCATAGTAGAGTGGTAATATCATTTAGATAAGTCTCATAATTATTTACAATGTTCATGGAATTATTCTACTGCTAATTGATCGTCATTATTTTCTACATCAATCATCTCAATACACTTTGACCAAACAGAAATTTTATTGCTTAATCTTTGTTTACTTAGCATCAGCTCCATCTTAATCTGAAACTCGAGTTGAATTTTAACTTTCTTCCAGGGGACTTCTAAATCCCTTTTCCACCATCTCGCAATTACTATTTTAGCCGCTAAAAACAGATGTATAAGAATTGCTTTTAATTCATATGTCATATGAGGCCAATTCAGATGGAGTAGAACTACCTCTGGAGAAATTATCAACTCGAGTTTTAAATTATTAGATATGAAATGCTGTATTTTCGACCAGAGATTTTTTAATTTATAACAATCCCACCAAATATGTCTAAAATTGCCTCTAATACTGTTACATCTCCAGCAGATAGGATTAACTTGAGGGTAAATTTTATTCAATTTAGCTGGTACTATGTACCACCTATTTAAAACTTTAAAGTGCGTTTCTAATAAATTTAATGAATGTATATTTTTCTTGACATCCATCATTGAAGAACCCCATTGATTCAGATTAATATCGATATTCAAATCTTGTTTCCAGGCCTGTATGGCAGTAGGATTTGTGTCTTTAGCTATTGATTTAATTAATATTAGAGCTTTGGAAAGTGGTTTATTAATTTTTTTTGATGTAAATAATAAATCTATCGAATTGCTCAGGTTAGATTTTGGTATTATAAGGTGTGTATTAATATAACTTTTAAGTCTTAAAAAATTAAACACCTCTCTAGGAGGAAGATTATGTATCTCTGTTATTTGAGCAAAGGTTTTGATTGATCCTTCTGTCAATAATTGGTCCAGAGTCGTTATCCCTACTTTTTTCCAATTATTTAAGTTTAGATCTTCCACTTGTTTTTCTACAATATCTAACTCTAAATAACTTGGAACTTTTTTTCTATATTCATTGCTTTTTTAATTTTTAACCAATTTTTCAGTAATTGAGTTAAGATAATGCTGGCATACTCTTTTTTCTTTGGCATTTTATTTATGTTCCAAATTAAACAATCTAAGCTAGGGACTTCTCCTGCCTTCAATTCCATTTTATACCATCCCTCATCTTTATTTTCTTTCATTTGCATTCTGTAAACATGTAGAATAGTAGCTGCTTTAAAATTATTCATTATAACGTTATACCAAAGTGGAATTATATGTTTCAAATGTTACCTCTCCATATTCCAATCCATTGGCTTCAATTAATACAAAGAAGTTTTACTCAATATATCTGGAAAGGCAAGAAGCCAAGATTGAAGCAGTCAATATTAGTGCAGAAAACACACAAAGGTGGACTTGATTATCCATTTATAAGGAAAAACACAGTTTTTACACATATCCTGTAACTTTAAAACCACACATCCAATCTCCATAAATAATAATAATATAATAATAATTACATATTTAGAATCAGCAACCTTTAAATATAAACATAACCAAAAATCAGCCAAATTGGTCCATTAGTTCAAAAGATAGATCGAAGTCCTTTGTGACCAAATAAAGCATGGCTTTTCTGCCCAAAACCAGTTCCACAGAGTCTTCTATACTAGAGATAATTGGGAAGTAATCCAATTATCTCCAAGGACAGAGGCAAAACTCCATTGAACACATGGCAGCAAAAGACAATAAAACACATAAAAATATATAACTGTGCAGCCATTGCACAAAACAGGTACATTCAACATATGCCCAGATAGCTCAGATCTGAGCGCACATTATTACTAAATGGCGCTCAGAGCACACACATACTGTTCAATTGCCATGGAGCCAAAGTCTTTCCCATAGTCTTTCATTATACGAATGGGCTCCATGGCATAGCTATCTGGGGTATCACCACTCAAACAGGGCAAGCACCGAATGACCCGGCTTTCGTGTCTTCGCAGGGGAAAATCAACATGGGGCTATAGTCTAAAGGCAGCAGGCGGGCAACCAGGCTTCTCCAGTGCATAGTGGCGAGGTTGGTTCCGTCACAGTGACTATCTGGGAATGCCACGTTTATGTATACCACCATATCCGAAGTCTGTTTTAAACCTTCTCCCATGGGTGAATCCATCTAATATCGCAGCCATCGCGCAATATGGGGAACAAAAAAAGATACTCAACACACGCCAAAGACTCAAAGAACAACTCTGGCTCTCGATATCAGCCATTAAACAAATTCTTCACAGAGAAATCTGAGGGCGATCCAGAGGCCTCCAGATCCAGCATGGTGTGCGGTGCAGACTTGCCGATGGCATCACAAGCCAGCTTATGTATCTCAGAGGTGTCTGCTAAACTTACCGTCTATGGATGATCTTGCAAAGATGCTTGCCGATCTCGATACCTCTATACAAATGAAAATAACCAAACTGGGAGCAGGCCTGGGCTCACTGGATGCCAGAGTACAGCAAATAGAGTCCACAATGCAATACCATGACTCCCAAATACTGGACCTGCAGCAGCAAACCGCTAAGAATATGACCAACAGCGCTATGCTACACAGATATATGGAAGACATAGACTACAGGGGCAGAAGGAATAATATCAGGGTTAGAGGGATACCAGAACCCATATCGGGCCCAGAAGATGTATACCTCATACTGAGGGAATTATTCAACTCACTACTGGAGCACCCAAGGGACACAGGCATTAAAATGGACAGGGCACACAGGGCATTGAGACCCAAAGGCTTATATGTTGCCTACACAATTTCCCGCTCAAAGAAGCCATAATGAAAAGAGCTAGAAACACTACAGCCCTACAATTTCAAGAATGCCCAATCCAGATAACGCCCAATCCAAGATCTATCCTGGATTAAAATACAAGACAGAAAGGCCTTTACACCTGTCATGAGCCAGCTACGGGACAAGCAGATAAGATACAAATAGGGATACCCATTCTCTTTCACTGCCATTGCAAATGGAACCACAGCCATGATCTTCACTGCCAAAGATGTCCCAGTATTTACACAAGCACTAGGATTACAAGAGGTCTCAGTCCAGGACTGGTACACAGACACAGGTGCGATTCCTAATATACCACAACCACAGAGGAGCATGGGCAGTCCCTGTCTCCAAGTAAAGGAAGAACCCACCTGGGAACTTAGCAGGTTTTCCAGAGGATCCAAGATCCCATCATCCTGACTGGACATAACTGACAAGCTTCAGACCACCACAGATCCAAGACAGCAGCAAATGCTGTAGTTGACTCCAAAGGAGTTGATGTGAAGTATAATTAACCTTATAATTGATCTCAAGTTTTTTTTTTATTTACCCTGCACTGTCAGACATAATGTCCCGTATTCATCCACATATAAAAATGTAAATAATGACATTTACTGTTGTGACAGGAAATGTTGTGCCGTGTAAAATTACTGTCCTGACATGAAAAGTTGTGCCGAGCAGCAATCAAATCCACAGGGGGGTTTGTGCTGAGCAGCAATTATGCTAATGGAAACCTGGTAACTGCCTTTGGGGTCAAAGGCCGATTACAGCCTATCAGATCCAGAGGAGGGGTATTTAGGCCCAGTTCTCATCCTGCTCAGTGCCCTGTCGTGGTTTCCCTAGTGGTTGTCCGGGAGTGCGTTTCTGATTCAGGTTTCTTCTGGTTTTTGACGTTGGCTTTGATTTTGACTTCCCTGTATTCTTGTATCCCAGACTTCTGGCTTTCCCTTATCGTTGTGTCTCTTTTTGTATCCCTGACCTCAGCAAGTATCCTGACTACTCTTTGGTATGTTAAGTCCGGCCATTCTAAGGCCCAGTAATACGTTACCTATTAGTTATCTGAATGACACAATTCTACGTGCTGGATCAACTAGTAATCCTGACACATAATAAATAAGAGTCCCACTGTAAATGAAAATTTTATAGAATTTATACCCATTGAAATGAGGGAGGGAAACACAAGCGAAACCTACTGATTCTGGACCACCACATAATCCCTGATAATCCCCACAGACTGTGGGCTCCTACACTCTCTCACCACCCTCACACAGTAAACAAAGGCAAATGTATTGTATGGGGATAAAACTTGTATGTAACCACCCCGCACGTGAAACAAATGGCGAAAATTACCATTACGTCTTTTAACTAATGGATACTCACCTTGGTGGAGAGCCCACCCCAACACATCTTACAAGACACCTGTAGAATGTTCCTACACACCCCCACGATAACCTTTCTAATGATTAATGCAAAAACTTTGCTAAGTGTGCTTAAAGTATATGTTGGTATTTTTAAGATTATGTTGTTATATTTCTTAATCATTGGTGCAACTAACTTTTGGTACAATTTCTGAAGAAAATGTGTATAAAATTATACCAGCAGGCAACTGCTCTACTATATTGTTCACCTGTAGGAGCACTGTGCCCCTTCATAACTTACTTAACTTACTTATGTCTTCCCACATTGTGTCATGGAATGTCAGGGGATTGAACATCCCGGAGAGGCGGCGTGTGCACTTAACGAAACTGATACGAATGGATGCAGATGTGACCTTGTTGCAGGAAACTCACTTCCGACTGGGTTCCGCGTCGATTATTCTGAACCTTCAATACACCACCGGATACTTTGGGGACTATGAGGGAGGTAAAGCTAGAGGAGTGGCAATTTTATTTGCATCACATATACCCTTCCAGATGGTAGTACAAATGAACGATCAACAAGGCAGATTTGTATTTGTCAGAGGAATGACAGGGTCACACGATTACACATTTGCCAACATGTATGCCTCTAACAACAAACAAGGATTCTTCATGAAAAAAACACTATCAAAACTTTACTCCTTTTTTTTTTTTTCAATTTGACAATTTTTATTTTGTCATACATCAAAAAACAGTATATGGGGGGTACAGAATGAAAAGGGTGGGAGGTGGGGGGGAATCTAGGCAACGTTGTTTACACGTACACGTTCTGCCTTGGATACGTACATTATATATATCACATCACATAGTTCACATCACACATCTCGCTTTCCACATTTCCAGCGCTAGCGTATACAATTTAATCATTACACTTTAAACTTTAAACGTTAAACGTTCATTTTTTCCCAATCTGTATTTGCTACCTTTCTCGGAGTCGCAAGTGTAGTATGGAGTGCTGGACGTAATATCGCCACTTGTGTGGTTGGCCCAGCGTCTAGCGGGTAGATTAGTTTTGCGACACGTGTGTGGTGATGTTCGCCCTTATCCCGTGTGTATTGTGCCGACCCCCTGCCCTTGTATACTGGCCTCCTACAGGGTGTCTGGGTTCTTCTCCCCTCGGGAGTTTGCGTAATGTGGTTGCCTGGTGGCCGCATCTGGGCTAGGCGTACGTGAACTACTAACGGGTTGCTCACTGGAGCAGCTGACTAGCTACATATTAAGTTGTAGCTCAATATTTGTGTGGGGGGGTGGAGGGGGTGTGCAGAGAAGGGAAGGGAAAGAATTAAGGGAAGAAAGGGGAAGAGATTTAGTTTGTAGACCTCTTGAAAATAGTGTTCCTCTTTGCCCTCCCTCTGGGCCCATGCTTCTTAGTTGTTAATTCTACCTTTCTACCTCCAATGTACCATCGGTTCTATGTGTCAGGAACTCCTCCCAGGTCAAGTCTCAGACGTTCCCGTCTCTCTGGCTTTGGTACTCTACTCAATCTCTCTTGTCTTAGCGTACCTATGTGTCCTGAGTTCTGGAGTGGTGTGAACTTCACTGAATGTATTTTTCCCATTTGTTTTTTGTGTCTATGATCGTGTGGTTATTTGTAATGTATTTATTTGCCATAGCCTCATATTCCCAGTTTGTGGATGTTTGTGTTAGGAGATCGTGTTTGCTGGGTGCTTGTGGTTGTTTCCACTGTCTGGCTATCAGGGTTACTGCCGCTATGAGCACTTGGAATATCAATTGTCTTTCCTGCTTGTGCCATTGGGCAAGATGCATGAATAGTATGCCCTGTTCAGGCCCCAAGCTGTAAGGGCGGTCTATCACGTCAGTGATTATCTCTTCCACCATAGCCCAGTAGGGAGTGATTATCGGGCACGTCCACCAAATGTGGTACATTGTCCCCCTTTCTCCGCAACTCCTCCAGCATGGCCCTGAGCTTCCCGGGTATAGTTTTGCTAGTTTGTCCGGGACCATATACCATCTGTACATAATTTTCCTCTTTGTTTCTAGATGAGTCGCGCAAGATGTGTGCCCTTTGTGTGCTTGGAATGCCTGTTTCCAGTCTAGGTCTGCTATTGGGCGTCCTATGTCTTTCTGCCAGGCTTCTCTAAAGTCTCCGTGTCTGTTTGTCTCTACTGTATTCAGTAGTGCATATAATTTCGACAGGATTTTTTTGGGTATACTGCCCTGTAGGCATATCTGTTCTAAGGCGCCAATATTTGGTGGTTCGGCACATGGTCCCTTGCAGTGTGAGGCCACAAATGATTTCAGTTGGAGGTAAGGGAATATGTGTCTGGATTGCAAGGAGAACTTGGTTTGCAGTGCTGGGAATGTCAGTAACTCGTTGTCCACGCATACCTGGCTAAGGTGGGTACATCCCCCTCTCACCCAGGGGGTGTGGTCAAATGTCGGTATGCCCACTGAGATGCTCGTGAGTGGGATATTCCCTATAGTTGGTCTGACCATGCCCAGTGATGCCCTCACAGAGTCCCATGTTTTGATCATTGCTGCCGTGGTTGGTAACATGGTTGTGTACGGCGGTCGTAGTTTGTACGGCAGCTGGTATAGGTGTCGCAGCCCCTGTTTGCATGCCCAGTGTGTTTCTATGTGGACCCATTGGGGGGGTCTTCTACTGCGTTTGTCGCTGCTATGGCAGTCAGCAATGTGGCTCTATGATAAGAACGGATGTTGGGCATGCCCAATCCCCCTTCTTTGATCGGTTTTTGTAAGAGCTTGCTGGCCACCCTCACCTTGCGGTTGGCCCACACAAACCGTACGATCAGCTTTTGGATTGTGCTCATGTATTGGCCCGGCAGACTAATCGGGACTGTACGCAGCAGGTACTGGAGTTTGGGAAGTATAGACATCTTAATCGCCGCCAGTCTGCCCAGTCACGAGAGATATTTGCCCTCCCATGTGTGTAGCGTGTCTGTACATGATTTGATCAGTTTAGTAAAGTTTAACTTAAACAAATGGGGTAGGTGGGGGGGTATATGGACGCCCAAGAAGGTAATATAATCCTTCCTCCAGTCGAATGAGAAAAGCTCACTCAAGCGTTTCAGCCGGTGAGACTGGACTCCCACACCCATAGCCTGTGATTTAGCGACATTTAGTTTGTAGTAGGAGTTAAGGCCGTATTCTTTAATGACTTCCATGAGATTTGGTAGTGAAATTTGGGGTTGCGTTAGTGTCAGCATGACATCGTCCGCAAACAAATTGATTTTGTATTCCCTGTCGCCAACTGTTACTCCGTGTATGGAGCTGTTGGCCCGTATTGTCTCCGCTAGCGGTTCTAAAGCTAACACATACAGTAAGGGGGAGAGTGGGCATCCCTGCCTCGTTCCGTTAGTGATGCTAAACGGTTCCGATGTGAAGCCTGCCGTGACTACCTGTGCCGACGGTTTGCTGTATAAGGCCTCCATCGCCGAGCAGAATGCCCCCGGCATCCCAAACTTATCCAGGACCGCTTTCAGGAACCTCCAGTTCAGGCGGTCAAAGGCCTTCTCCGCGTCTAGTGAGAGCGTTACACATTCTGTATGTTGCCTGTGTACGCTATGTATAATGTCGATGACCTTTCTCGTGTTGTCCCCCCCTTGTCTCCCTCTAATGAATCCTACTTGATCATTCCTTATCAGGTGTGGGAGGATCATGCCCAGTCTGATGGTGTATATTTTCACGAAGAGTTTTGTGTCTGTGTTCAGTAATGATATCGGTCGAAAATTTTGTGGGTGGATTGGTGGCTTGCCCGGTTTAGGCAATGTAATGATGTGCGCTCTGAGGGCTTCTGGCGGGAGTGCGTGTTTCGTGGCCGCTTCATTAAAAGCATTAGTAATGTGAGGGGCTAGGGTTCTTTGGAAGTACTTGTAGTAACAGTTGGCGAACCCGTCCGGACCTGGGGCTTTATCGGAAGGTAGAGAGTCAATCGCTCTCAACACCTCCGTTTCTGTTATCAATGCGGACAGGCTATCCTGCTGAGAGGGTGTAAGTTTGGGCAGGGCGATCTTGTCTAAGTAGGAGGCTATTTTGGCCCCCTGTGGTTGGGGTGTATTCGGGTCGTCCCTGAGATTGTACAGTGCTTCGTAATATTTGGCGAATGCGTTGCTAATGTCCTTGGGTGCCACTATTTTCTGTCCGCTTGGAGACAGCAAGTACGCTATTTTTTGGGCTGCTTGTTGTGACTTTAGTCTTTGTGCTAACAGTTTACCTACCTTGTTTCCCTGTGTGTAGTTTTGTGCCTTTAGCCTTTTCAGGTGGTATCCCACTTGTTCCAAGGATATTTGGTGTATCTGTCTTGTGAGTTTCGTGATTTGTTCCCGCAGTTCGTGTGAGGGAGTTATTTGGTTTTGTGTCGTGACACGCTGGAGGTCTGTTTGGCATGTGTGGAGCTGAAGGTGGGATTTCCGTTTTAAGTATGCTGCCCGCTGTATCAGTTGTCCCCGTATCACTGATTTGTGGGCCTGCCACAGGGTACCTCGGCTCGTTTCCGGTCTATCATTATCTTGGAAATATTGGGCTAAGTTTTGGTTCAGCTCCGTGCAGAAGGCGCTATCTTTCAATAATGTTGTGTTTATGCGCCACAGGCTTCTATGGGTTGGGTCATATATGTTTTTCAACGTTAGCTCTACCGGGGCATGGTCGGACCATGTAATCTGTCCTTTCTCGCACTGGGCCGTTTGGTCTATCCCTGTCCCTGAGATAAGGAAGCCATCAATGCGGGAATAGGTGTTGTGCACTGTCGAAAAGAATGTATACCCTCTTTCCCCTACATGAATGGCTCTCCATACATCATACAGATGGTTATTGTGTATAAGCTTGCAGAGTGCTTTACTTTGTTTGCGGAGGGGCTATCCTGCTGAGCGGGTGTAAGTTTGGGCAGGGCGATCTTGTCTACGTAGGAGGCTATTTTGGCCCCCTGTGGTTGGGGTGTATTCGGGTCGTCCCTGAGATTGTACAGTGCTTCGTAATATTTGGCGAATGCGTTGCTAATGTCCTTGGGTGCCACTATTTTCTGTCCGCTTGGAGACAGCAAGTACGCTATTTTTTGGGCTGCTTGTTGTGACTTTAGTCTTTGTGCTAACAGTTTACCTGCCTTGTTTCCCTGTGTGTAGTTTTGTGCCTTTAGCCTTTTCAGGTGGTATCCCACTTGTTACAAGGATATTTGGTGTATCTGTCTTGTGAGTTTCGTGATTTGTTCCCGCAGTTCGTGTGAGGGAGTTATTTGGTTTTGTGTCGTGACACGCTGGAGGTCTGTTTGGCATGTGTGGAGCTGAAGGTGGGATTTCCATTTTAAGTATGCTGCCCGCTGTATCAGTTGTCCCCGTATCACTGATTTGTGGGCCTGCCACAGGGTACCTCGGCTCGTTTCCGGTCTATCATTATCTTGGAAATATTGGGCTAAGTTTTGGTTCAGCTCCGTGCAGAAGGCGTTATCTTTCAGTAATGTTGTGTTTATGCGCCACGGGCTTCTATGGGTCGGGTCATATATGTTTTTCAACGTTAGCTCTACCGGGGCATGGTCGGACCATGTAATCTGTCCTATCTCGCACTGGGCCGTTTGGTCTATCCCTGTCCCTGAGATAAGGAAGCCATCAATGCGGGCATAGGTGTTGTGCACTGTCGAAAAGAATGTATACCCTCTTTCCACTACATGAGTGGCTCTCCATACATCATACAGATGGTTATTGTGTATAAGCTTGCAGAGTGCTTTACTTTGTTTGCGGAGGGGTGCGTTGCGCTTCCTAGCTGGAGCTAGTGTCGTATCTATGGAGGGGTCAAATACATGATTGAAGTCGCCACATATGACTGTCGTCCCTAGCTGTACTGACTGCAGTTTCTGTATAAGTTTATGTAAAAAGTTGCGTTGGTTCGTGTTGGGGGCGTATATGTTCGCTATGGTGTAAAGCATGTCATTAAGCGTGCCTACTATAATGATGTATCTGCCGTCCGGGTCAATGTGTTGGGAATGCGGGGCATAGGCCACATTTTTACTAATTAGTATGGAAGTGCCTTTGGTTTTGCTAGCCGATGTGGCGTGGATTTGTATAGGATAATCTTTCTGTAGGACGGTGGGGTGTGCGTTGGTCATGAAATGTGTCTCTTGAAGACATAGAACGTCTACTGCTTTATGTTTGATCTCTCGGTATAGGAGGTGTCTCTTAACCGGGATGTTCAGTCCCCTAACGTTGTGTGAGTAGATTTTCAGGGTGGGAGGTGGTCATAAGATGGTATTTGTGCTTGTGTTCGACATATATATTTCGGAGAGTCCCGTGTCCCAGTTCCTCCGAACTCAAGGGCTCTCCCCGGGTAACCTGAGGGCTATTTCGCATGTCTCTAGGCTCAGAGGGAGAGAGCGGCATGATCTCCGCTCTATCTGATCTTGGTCGGTAACTTACGGAGTGCATAGCTGGTGGGAGGGGTGTATGAGGTGCAAGCATGAATACAAACAGAAAAACGTAATAGGTAACAGAAATGGGTAAACTATAACAAATCAACTTTTTTGCCGAAATATCGGCTATGCACCAAGTGGTGGTGCGATGGGGGTAGGAACTAATGGTTCCTGTCCTGGCTGCGGTTCGTCGGCCGCGGCTTTTGCTCTCATGTTTTGCTTTTGTCTGGGTGACCCTTTTTTTTTTTGAAAAGGTTGTGTGGATGGGCTGTCGCTGCCTGCCTGCCTGTGTCCTGAGATTGCATGTTGGTATAGTGGAATAAAAATAAGTATTTTTTTTGTTTTTTTGTTCTCTCTCTCTCTATATAGTAATATGGCGGAGCTTCCTGGGGGGTCTGTGGGGGGGCGCGAATGTGAGCTCCTCTGCCTAGGTCTTTCCCGGTGCTGGTCTCCATGTCACTATATCCATGACCCAGGCTCCTATCTAGCCTTGTTCCCCAGATTTCATATGTCTCTTTACATCCTCCGCCCTCCCCCCAGTCGCCATGCCCCTTGTCTTTGCATGCACATCTGTAGTGTAGCTCCTATTTACATTGCCATTAAACATAGAAAATTTTACAAAGCAAATGTTATACAAGCCTGGATTCAAATGGCTGGAATGACAGTTCTCAGGTTCAGCGACACAGCACCCTCCCAGCAAGGCGAATTAACTTTTGGCTTTCCTCCATGATGGAGGGAGTCTTTGAGTCTCTTTCGTTGCGGGCGGAATTTCTATGCCCCAGGTTCTAAGGATTTTCATTCCTTCGTCTGGGCTCTGTATTATAGTTGGTCTTCCGTTTCTCTGTACGATCAGCTTCACCGGGTATCCCCATCTGTATGGAATTTGTTGTTGGCGGAGTTGCGTCGTGATTCCTGCAAAATCCTTCCTGCGTTTAAGCGTGTATGCTGAGATGTCGGTGTAAACTGCTATTGCCTGGTATGCCTACGGCATGTCTGTTTTTTTTCTGGTTCTGTTTGCTCTCATTACCTCTTCCTTTATGTGAAAGTAATGCATTCTCAGCAACACATCTCTAAGGGTTTCAGGTGGTAAGAAGGTGGGTTTTGGCACTCTGTGAGCCCGGTCTATCAGGAACATGTCAGGGGGCACATCAGGGGCGAGCGCTTTGAATAGTCCCACTAGGTAGGCCGTGAGTTCTGTCGGGACTATATTTTCCGCTATACCTCTAATACGGAGGTTGTTCCTCCGACCTCTGTCTTCAAGGTCTGCGGTTTTCCCCTCCCGTGCTTCCATCCTCTCTGTAAGGCTGTCTAGTTTTGCTGCCATGGAATTTTGGGCCTCCTCATATGCCACCATTTTGTCCTCAAGCCCGGCCGTCCTGTCTCCCAGCTCTTTTACATCTGCATTAATGGTGTGGATTGCATTTTGTAACGTGAGCTGTAACTTCCCTGCCATAGTGTCCAGCATCGCCTGCAGGATCCCCTGCGTGACCGGTAAGTCGGCAGCCGCCTGTTCTGGGGAGGGAATGAGCTCTTTCTCGCCCCCATCTTGATTTTCGCCATGCGGGCCGGATCCTCGGGTCTGGCTCGCCTTAATGCCAAAGAAGTTGGATTTTTCGCCCCGCTCTGTCTGCCGGCGGTGTTTAGGCTGGGACATCTTTGTGCCTCTGGCTTTGCGGTGTCGGGTCACCCGCTTCGCAGCTTGTGTAGGCCTGTGCCGCACGGAGCTCCGGCTACATGCGACCGCTCGCTCCGGAGTCTAGGACACGCCCCCCAAACTTTACTCCTTTTTGAAGGGAACCCTGATCTGTGGAGGAGACTTCAACATCTCCCTCGATTCCACACATCACAAGGGCAACCCGAACCATCTGCAAAGGAAACTGTGCATATAATCACTCCATAATAGCCAACTCATAGATTGTTGGAGACTCGCTAATCCATCTTCCAATGATTACACATTTAACTCAGATCCTCAAAACACTTACTCCCGAATTGACTCAATTTTTATCAATCACAGATTCCTCCACCTCATTAAAAAAATCCCACATAGGACCAATCACATGGATCGATCATGCACCAGTACATGTATACATGGAATTCCCCACAATACCTAGTCGCTCCTAGAATTGGAAACTCAATGACTCTGTCTTAGATAATCAACAACTTAAAAACCAAATACAGGAAACCATCCTCTTTTTATACTTCCACGATAACCCACCCTCTGATACTTCTCCCCTGAACATATGGGAAGCACACAAATGTGTCTTATAAGGCACCTTTATCCAAATCGGAGCTAAAGAAAGAACGAACCAAAACCATAACAAACCTTTTAGAGGAGATACAGATCCTAGAAAACACACAAATTACGCACAGACTCCAACACCCTCTCTCATCTAAAGATGCTTAGGGAAGAACTCTCACAACTTCTGAACCACAAAGCAAAAAGACGGCCTACTACTCACACAGCACTCCTTCTATGCACACATCAACAGGAACAGAAAGCTCATTGCCAGAGCCTTGCAACAAAGACTCCACAAATCCTACATATCCAAAATCAAAGATAGGTCGGGGACAATGCACCATCTAACAGCAGAATTGCGAAATCATTTCAAGACTATTATGCCTCATTATATGGCATTAAGTCAACAGGGGTATCTGGGACTGACAGGAAAAAATATACCGACAACATACATCACCGACTGACCCAGCCAATGCGTGACACACTCAATGCTCCCTTCAAGGACAAAGAACAACAAAAGGCGATAAAGGCCACCCCAAACGGTAAAATCCCTGGTCCTGACGGGTATTCCAATAAATACTATACATTATTTTATCCATAGCTAGAGCCCCACAAGCTTAGGGCTTTCAACTTCATATCACCCACTTCCACGTTTAGCTCCTCAGCACTAGAGGCTACACTAACTCTCATCCCCAAGTCGGACAAAGACCATACCCAGTGTGGAAGCTATAGACCGAGATCGTTGATAAACAACAACATCAAGGTATTCTACCACATGTTGGCTAACAGGCTGAAGCCTCTATCGCAGGGACTAGTCCACACTGACCAGGCGGGATTCACGCCCCATTGAGAAACAAAGGATAACACCACCAAAATAATAAACATCATTCACAAAACAATGACGCAAAATGTCCCCACATTGCTCCTCAGTGTAGATGCTGAGAAGGCATTTGACAGGGTGGACTGGTCTCTGCTCTTTGGAGGGCTGGGGGAGATGGGATTTGGCACACAGTGGATAACATGGGTCAAAGTCTTATATCCAGCCCCACAGGCAAAAATACAAGTTAATGGCACACTCTTTAACAACTACCTATTCAAAATGGCACAAGACAAGGGTGTCCTCTGTCCCTGCTACTATTCACTCTCACCTTGGAGCCCTTTCTCAATGCCGTCCGGTAAAACCCTAACATATCCGGTGTGACGGCCTAACCTCTCAAATAAGATCTCTACCTATGCAGACAACCTTCTTTTCACAATAACAAACCCTGAAAGCTCCCATAAACACTTGATCACAGAAATGGACACATACTCCAGACTATCAAATTTCAAAATCAATTATGAAAATAGTGAAATCCTTCCACTCATGATCACGGAACACAGCCTGCAGACACTCAAATCCTCTTTTCCTTTTAAATTCATTAGAACACACATCAAATATCGAGGAATAAAGATCACCCCGCAACTAAAAGTCCTGTTTGCACATAATTATACAACCCACAAACACTAACAAAAGACCTCGCAAATTGGAACAGACCCCACTTCTCCTGGATAGCCGCATAAACATTATTAAAATTAATGTCCTTCCAAGACTACCCTATTTATATCAAACCTTACCTAGAGGGGTCCCACCTTAATTTTTTGAGTCTATGTGCAAATTATTTACTGACTATATATGGTTCGGGAGAAGGCCTAGACTTCCTTCAATACACTAACTAGACCAAAGGGACGAGGAGGACTGGAACTCCCCGACCTATTTATTACTATATGGTGACATAATTTACCAGAATTCTGGACTGGTACAATAAGGACAGTACTAAACAATGGAAAATGTTAGAACAGGAATGGACGGAATACCCACTAGCGTCACTTCCCTGGCAGACAGAACCGATCTCTCACTTCTTGCAAAGACAACACCCCACAATAAGCCCACATCTTCTTTTATGGAAAAAATATGCAAAATCATTCGCCCTTAGCAAGCAACTGTCCCTTCTATTCCCAATAACTCACAATCCTGCTTTCCCGACTGGGAAAAGGGGACTCCAATGGTCGATAGCTACACTCCTACAACACGTATCCCTCATGGAAGTGGTTCAGGACAGGGGGATTAAACCTATATCCATGCTATGCAGTAATGTCAACCCCACATTCATGGACAGGTTCCTGTATCACCATTTAACTTAATTAAAAACATCACTAAAACCATTAGATAAGACCCCTCAGCTCACTAAATTCGAAACATGGTGTACTCAATGCCGCTCTCTACAAAAAGCATTATAATTGGTGTATTCACTATACAAGAGTCTGCAGGATAACCCTTACCAAAATACACGACTGACTGGGCTGCAGAATTGGACACCACCTTCACGACATCAGACTGGGACAAAATACTTTTACTCACCCACAGAAGCGACATGAACATATCAATGGTAGAGAGCAATCACAAACTACTCACTAGGTGGTACAGAACACCACAAGGATTACACAATATCTACCCGATAGTCCCTGACAAGTGCTGGAGGTGTAACATAGCACCTCACATACACTCACATATGGTGGGAATGCGCAATCCTACAGGGGTATTGGGCTCAAATTCTCTCAATAATAACATAAGTGGCCAATATCCCGAGGCCTCAGTTCATTGCTGAATTTTTTTTTCACCTGACCCCTAAGCCTACTCTCAGCTGCTAAGGCCCTGATCCCCAAATACTGGAGGCAACAAACATCCGCCCCTTCCCCCCCACTAGCAGAATGGTATTCAAGAGTACAGAGTATCAGAGAAAATAAATACTCTTTATCCGGTCACAACAAGCACTACCTATCAATATGGGCTAGGTGGATTAAGCACCGAATAAGGAGAGTAATGGGTTGTACCTTACTTTATGCCCTCCATGTTACCCCAGCAGATTGACAGCTCCATACAACAATAGGGTGTTATGGAAGCTTGTTAAGTAGGTGTTAGAGTAAAAGAACTTTCAACCTTGACCTTGACTGCATTTCCACCAATAAAGTTTATCAGCAGTGTATTTACTCCCCATAAGCCTTTAATCATGGATATCCCCTCCCCCTTGCCCACCCTTTTCAGTTTTGACGGTTCCACTAATGACAAATCAAAGCATCATTGTCCTAAATGGCAGACATTTGATTAAATGACTTACCTTTTCACTTTTCCAATTATAATCTTTATAAAAAGTGATCTGCTGTTCCTCGGAAAGTGATGTTTCTAAATTTCCAATGGTAATCCTTGTAGAATAATTTGGATTATATTTTGATGATGCATATGTTAGTTCATATCTATGAGAAACTTCTCCTCTATCATTAAAGCAAACTTCTTCACATCTATTCTTGTAAAATTTTGTATTTATATATTGATGGAGCTATGAGGAAAATGTTAGTCAACGTTTAAAAGGTGCCACATTTCCATTTCCAAACTGAAATGATTGATACTTATGCAGCTATAAATATTATTTTTATTATCAATTTATAAAGAGCCAACACATTCTGCACTGCAGTGTTGTACATTGGTACAAGTGCACACTGTCAGGAAACCTCATTTTTGTGTCTGGGCTGCAAAAGCACCTCACAATAGGTGGTGCCAGACTGAATCACCTGCTCTTCTAGAACTAATGATTCCATGGTAATTGGCCACACTATCATATGTGTAGGTAGGTATTGCCTTACTGTACTATTAGGGAAATTGACCAACAGGAAAGCAATATGGAGATAGGAACAGAAGGTGGGAAAATATGGAAAAGTGTATTGGGGCAGAATATGGTTAGAAGGACAGAAGGTGATGACATAACCTGTACAGTAAAAGAGAAAGTGGGATAGAGAATCTGGATAGAAGGACACTAAGGGAGTATGGAAAGATGGACACCACTGGAGGAAGGAACAAAGAGACAAAGACGGTACTAGCAGAGAGTGTTGGGGGTTAGATGATGATGTGATATGGTGGTGATATGATATGGTGTGTTTTATTGCTGTGGAACTCACTGTTATGATTATACAGTGAATGTTACATTAATTAGCCCTGCAGCAATAAAAATGCACACATGGTCTTCACTAAATTACTAAACTCTGAATTGTAGAAAATCGAAAGCAAAGTTGCAAAAGTACAACTGAAAAATTTGGACCAATAGTGGCTTGGTTACTGCTTTCCAAGTTGGTTTAGCAGATAACATTCAGGATAAATTTGCGGCCAAAGACGTGCCTCCTGATTTAAATGATGTGATAAATTATTGCATACATATAGATAATCAGCTCAGAGATAGATGCTTACAAAAGGAGAGACAAAGGAGAATGGTCATGAGCCCTGCCTTACCTCCACCCATTTGAGATGCGCTTGCATTACCTGCTCCTTCCCCAGTACCCATGCAATAAGGTGTGACAAAGTTATCCGAGGCTCAGAAGTCTTTCAGAAGAAGAGAGGGACTTTGCCTTTATTGTGGACAGAAGAGTCATCTTAGGAAAGAATGTCCCAGCCGTCCAGAAAACTCTCACACCTAAGGCCTAAAAGGGAGCAGGTCTTGGGTGTAATGACGTTGTTCCCTGAACCTGAAACATCTAGGTTAATACTGTCACTTAGTCTTAAAATCAGAGAGAAGAACATCCTTGTTAAAACCTTGATAGATTCAGGAGCAGCAGATAATTTCATAGATTCTACTTTTGTTGCTGATTCTGCTGTTCCTGTCCTTCGTTGAGGCCATAGATGGAAGGCCACTACGTACTCCGCTCATCACTCATAAGACCATACCTATCTCAATGACGGTGGATATCTTGCATACAGAGAAAAACACATTTCAGGTTCTATCCTCTCCTTCTGGTTCTGTTGTTCTGGGTTACCCTGGTTTGTTAAACATAACCCAGTAATCGATTTGGAAACCGGGGAGATAACCAAATGGAGTATCAAGTGTCATATGCAATGTCTTTCTTCCTTTAAGGCTATACTGACAATCAGTGTTCCCACTGCTATCCCTATATCCATGGAGGTACCGCTGCAATATCTAGACCGTAGTGAGGTATTTGATAAATACAAGGCTGACAAACTTCCTCCTCATCGCTCTTATAACTGTGCGATCGATCTCCTTCCTGTGACCATGTCACATAAGGAAAGGGTTTATCTACTTTCTGTAAAGGAGAACATGGTCATGGAAGAATATCATATAATCCTTAGCTAAAGGTTTCATTAGAAGGTCTTCTTCCCAAGCTGGTGCAGGATTCTTCTTTGTATAAAAAAAGGAAGGAGACCTCATACCTTGTATTGATTATAGGAGATTGAATCGTATTATGGTTCACAGCGTATATCATATCCTCTTAATCACTGATCTGTTTGATCGCCTTAAAGGTTCCAAGGAATTTACCAAATTAGACCTCAGGGGTGCATATAATTTGGCTAGGATCCGTTAAGGAGATGAGCGGAAGACAGCCTTTAACACCCGTAGTGAGCATTATGAATACTTGGTTATGCCTTTTGGGTTGTGTAATGCCCTGGCCGTCTTCCAGGATCTCATCAATGATGCATTAAGATAATTGTTACCTATATGCGTTGTTGTATATCTGGATGACATTCTTGTACATTCACCGGATCTTGAGACACAATACAAACATGTCCGACTGGTTCTTACTAAGTTATTAGAATACAGTTTGTTTTGCAAATTGGAAAAAATTTATTTTCATAATTCTATCATTTTCATCATTCATCATTTCATCATTCTGTTCAGTTTCTGGGCTATGTAATCTCAGAATCTGGTTTTACTATGGATCCCTCCAAACTTAAGGCTATTCTCACTCGGCCCCTTCCACAAGGTCTGAAGGCAATGCAACATTTTATTGAGTTTTCTAAATATTACAAAATGTTTATACACAACTTTTCTTCCATTATAACACCATTAACCAATATGACTAAGAAAAGAGTCAATCCTTTAATTTGGACTCCTGAGGCTCTAGCCGCTGTGGAGAAACTTAAGGCAGTTTTTTCCACAGCCCCTGTCTTGACTTTTCCTGACCTATCTAAACTGTTCATTATGGAGGTTGATGCCTCAGAAAAAGGTATTGGAACTATATTACCCCAACGTCTACATCCATGTTGTTTCTTCTCAAAAAAGCTTTCCGATGCCGAGAGAAATTAGGACATTGGTAATGGAGAATTGTTGGCCGTTGTATTCACATTCAAAGAATGGAGACACTAGTTAGAGGGCACCAGAGATCCTATTTTTGTAATAAAAGATCATAAGAATCTTTCATATATTTCAGAAGCTAAAAGGCTGTCTGAACGTCAAGCTCGCTGGTCTCTTTTTCTCTCTCGGTTCAATTACATAATTACACACAGTGTGAATATGTGCTGTCTGGAATAAATGTAATATCCTTTCAAGTATGGTCTCAATATGTATACTGTGTGACCAAGAATCACAATACAGAAAAAAAAATGAGTAAAATGACAATACAAGCCTTATAAGGCTACTCCTTAAAATTAGCTGTTAATCTAAAATAGTACTGAGTATGGCTTGCTATGAAATTGCAACATACTTTATTATACAGGTCTATTCTGGCATGCCATATAATCTCAATAAGAGAGGTAAAAAGTGAGATACCCGGGGTTGAGAGGGTTAAATTATCTCTACAGCTGTGTATTGAGTTAGTCCGTGTGTAGATATCACAGAGTTAGCTGCCCACAATTAGACAGCTTAAAATATAGTTGCAAGTCACTATGATAAGTACATATTTATAGACACAAAAAGTGTCTCAAATGCATTTGTGGTAACCAAAAACTAATAGAGTTATCAGATAGAGAGAAATTAAGTCTCACTCCCTGGTAATCTGTGAAAATGTGAAGCTTCTGTGCTACACAAAAGCAAAATAGTGTAGAAATTCTATTTCATCTCAGTGAATATACAGATAAATAGATAAACTCACATAGATTAGAGGCCCTCTAATGTAATTGGTGGCACACGATTGGGCTAGGTGGTCTCTCATTCGGTAGTTTGTTCGTTCATACGAATGGGTTAGCAGTGTCATTCGTTTTCCCATTCGTATGCTTTCAAATATAAAACTGGCAGCGGATACAAGGTAACAAATCCAGGGGGTTTACAATGTTATAGTCTGTGGTCCAGGTAATAACAGGGGTTCTGTTACATCATCTTACATGTGAATAAAATCTGTATTTTAATAAAAAACATGTTTATAAATGGTATATATTAATGAAAAATCATAATGTCATCTTCCTTCACTCATATGTAAATATAATGATATAAAATATATATATATATATATAACAAAATTTGGAATACCTTCTCAAATTTAAAATATCCTAAAAATGGGGAAAAAAATAAAAATATCCTAAGGTAAAAACACTTCAAAAATGGTAGAATTAAAAGTCACTTTTAAGGCCATATTGTGATAAGGAGTTTAAATTAAAAATCCATTTAATTTCGCAATGACCCATTTCACATATCAGGACTTCTTTATAATTCTTTATTTTTTGTTGTGGATTAGTATGTCATAACATTTTGTTCGATATTGAAAATGATAAAGATGATGAGTACAGCAGTATAAGAGACAACTTAACATAGACTGCACAATTTTATATATTTGGCAAGTCACCAAAAACTAAAAAAAATTCATGCTGTGTCAGGCTTAATCAAGGAGTGACATGGATACCCTTTGCTGCTTGTCAGTACATATTTGAGAATTGAACTCTAATAGTCCAGGGTGTTGTGATAAAAGGGAGGGAGGCCTCATAATCAGTTAGAATTAAACATCATGAAATAATAAAATGTGAAAACAAAACAAAACAGTAGGTCCTGGATAGGAAAGTAGTGATAAGGCAGAGAGAGCCTTGTGCTTAGAGGAGGTTGTAACGCCTCACTTGTCTGATAAGTGGTTATAACTGGGTTTTAGGACCCTGCAGCAGGGGGAATTAACTGGTGTCTATATTAATTGGACTATACTGGAGAAGAAGCCTGGGGTTATTATTAAAGACATAAATCTTTGTCTTCCATTCTGGAAGAGGATCACCAGGTCCCTTGGGACAGTTGCCGGTGCCTTAGCTGGTTTAGGGATGCAAAAGAGGCCATCTAGAGCTACCGCTTTGGTCTGCCATGGTTGCAGCAAAGCCACCTGCAGTCTCCTCATAAGATGTGGCAATTCATCTTCTGGAACATCTTTCTTGATCTTTCTGATTTTCAGATTGTTCCAGCGGAGGATATCCTCTTCTGCCACGAAGCAGCACTCATACATTTGGTTCTGCCTCTCAGGCCACTTGTTGAAGTGTTTCTATGGGCTGTGTGCCTTTGTGGGAGGCATCCTTCAGCACTCCGATGCAGCCTGTCTGGCCCTGTAGGCCTCCGCAGATCATTGTCATATCTGCTTGGAGAGTGTTTTTCAGGTCTACCAGAAGCTCTTTCAGAGCAGCGGTGGTGTCTGGAGTGGAGTCTGGCGCTGCCTCATTAGTGCAGGTAAGCATTCCTCCTCAGCTTCAATAGACAGCTCATCTGAAAAATCTGAGCAGCCTCCTGAGAGGACGGCCATTTTTTAGTCCGCTCGCTCCCTGTGCCTGCCTCCACAGCTCTCCAACATTCATCTCCAGGCTTGGTCTGTCAGGCTTGGGGTTTTTAGATTTGTGCCCCATGTCTTCTGGGCTCACAGGTGACATCCCTGAAATCCAGCTAGTAGGGGTAACAGCTCCATTATTTTGGTTATTCCGGAACATGAAGCCCAGAGCTTCAGGATCATGTGACCATCTGCTGATGGGTGCCTCATCGTCGGGGGGATCTTAATGTTGCTCTAAACCCATGCCAGGACACATCCACAGGAACCTCTGCAGTACCCACACACATCTTACAAACCATAAACAACTCCCTTCGGGACCACAGTCTAGTGGACTGTTGGAGGGCCGAAAGCAGGGACTTTACTTTCTTCTCAACCACTAACCACTCATATTCTTGCCTGGATTATATTACCTAACGGACTAACAGACCATCTGCATAGTCACCACCACATGGTCCAACCATGCTCCACTAATGATGACCCTGACATCCACACTGTATAGGCCCACCACGATGAGCTGGAGACTCAATGAATCCCTCCTGATGGATCCGCTAACTCTCCAAGAGATTCGTACCTCCCTCTGATCATATTTTGAAGAAAATGATAGGGAAGAAATTACACCGATATGCCTCTGGGAAGCCCACAAATTTGTCATAAGAGGGGCACTTATAGTAAAGGGCTCCGTGATTAAAAGAAAATGGAAGGCACGCTTAACTCACCTTTTAAAGGAAATTCAACAACTTGAGGAGACCTACAAACAGACCGAGCGACCTGACAACTGGCACAAACTGACGAACCTACATAGGGAACTCTTGACCCAACTCAATCACTCATACCAGAAAATGGTCACGCAAACAAAAACATTCTTCTTTGTTAACACAGACAAATATGGGTCCTTACTAGCCTGAATGACATCCAGAAGGCTAGCAAATTCCTACATACCCAAAATGTAGGATAAACACAACCGACTGAAACTCTTACCCACAGACATAGCTGGAGTCCTTCATTGATATTACTCTGATCTATACTCCTGCAACCCCAACCAGAGACAGACACCAAACGGTCATTAAGGAATACCTAGAATGACACTTAGATAAACGTCTCCCTGCAGTGGTGATCCAAGAGCTAGAAGAGCCCCTCACGGGAGAAGAACTAGCCTTAGCCTTGAAACTCGCAAAGACTGGGAAATGCACAGGCCCAGATTGTCTGTCTGTAGGCTACTATAAAAAAATACGCAGACATACTCACACCATGATGTTTGTAAGCATATAACTCTCTCAGGGAGGGAAACACCATGACACAACAGACCCTGGCAGCCAGCATCTTATTGATCCCTAAATAGGGCAGAGATGAAGAGCGGTGCGTCAACTACAGGCCCATCTCACTACTAAATTGTGACCTGAAATTATTTACGAAAATACTGTCCATGAGACTCCATGAGACCGCGGGTCTCATACACAGGGATCAGGTGGGGTTTGTTCCCAAGAGTGAGGCAAGGGACAACATTATACGAGCCCTGGCTGTCCTACATCACTCTACCTTCACCTCAGAGGGCTTTCTCCTGCTATCTACAGATGCAGAGAAGGCCTTCGACAGAGTAAACTGGGACTACCTGTTTGCAGTCCTGCAAAAAATATGGATGGGCCAGAATATTATGAACTGGATCAAATCCCTGTACTCCTGCCCCACAGCCAGACTTTGTGTTAACGGAGCACACACGGACCCCTTCAGTAACGACTGGGCTGCCCACTTTCTCCCTTGCTCTTCCTCCTTGCCCTCGAACCTTTCCTTCAAGCAATCAGACAGAACCCAAACATACAGGGGATGAGAATCGACAACACGGTCCACGGCCCACTACGGCAACACAGCAACACGGTCCACACCTATGTGGATGACCTATTTTTCGTGACAAACCCAGACCGCTCACTTAGACATATAATGAGAGAATTTGACACATATGGCTCGCTACCAAATTTCAAAAATAATTACTCAAAATTGATACTTGACGTGTCCTTCCTAAAAGAACAGGTCATACACATTCAATGCCTCTTTACCTTCAAATGGACAAACTCAGCCTTGAAATACCTAGGGATCTGGGTCACAAGGGAATGCACCCAGCTATACCGGGCCAACTTCCAGCCTCTCTTAGTGCGGCTGGGGAGGACCTCGAGAAATGGTCATTGCCACACCTCTCGTGGTTTGGCAGGGTGGGGATAGGCAAAATGACCCTCCTACCACGGGTGTTATACCTGTTTCAAACTATACCGATAACCATTCCAAAAACATTTTTTGTCACATAGCGCACGCTGATCCTGAGGTTCGTTTAGCGCAACTCCAATGCCCTCATACGACAAGACATCCTCGCATTGCCGAAGTCGGAGGGAGGTCTGGCTCTCCCAGACTTTAAGCGGTACTATCAAGCCACTCATCTGCAAAGGAAAGTAAAATGGTCCAAACAGGGTGTGACTAAGCTGTGAAAAGAAATAGAAGCCAACAGGTGGGCAGGCCCATGGCGGTCATACCCTGGCTGGACCCAACACACAGTGACAAACTAGTAGCCTGACACCCACTCATTAAGGCAATCATCACAGTATGGCACACCCAGGCCCCACAACTGGCCCTTTCATCATACCCAACACCCTTGTACCCTTGTACCCACATGGCCTTTTCTCGAGGACTATAACCAAAATCATTTCAGAGGCTGATAGGCACAGACATTCCCCCAATCTCCGACACCTGTTCACTTCATGCAATGCTTCAGATATAAACATCTGACGGACTTCCTCTGTTCTACTTGAAACCCCTCCTGACCAGAGACCTCACTCCAATGGAAGTGATCTGCACAGACAATGACCCTTTAGAACATGGGATATCAACCTTATACATTATGCTCCTCACATAGCAGCAAACACCAACACCTCACTTTATGGGGAAATGGGAAGAGGTCTTAGGAGAAACACTAACTCCCACACAGTGGCACAACATCTGTGATCTCACACTACACTGTGCAGTGTCCAGTAAAATGCAAGAGAACAACTTGCTAACCTACTGGTACAGGACTCCCCAGTCCCTACATGCAGTGATACCAACCATAGATAACAGTTGCTGGAGGTGTGGTAGAGTGGTGGGCACCCTACTTCATCTTTGGTGGGAGTGCTTATCAATAAAACTCATTCTGGAAAATGATCATTCCAAGATTATCAGATGACTTGCCCCCCCCCCCCCCTTCAGACCGGCACTGATTCTTTTACACCACACATCCACATACAAAAACTCACTGACGATACACATCTTGAATGTCGCCAAGGGGACATTATTCTGGAAGAAAGACATAGCTCCACGAGCTCCTCCAAAGAACTTCCGTAGCAGTGAGAGACCCCAAACTTACCTGAATATCTGGGCTCAGTGGATTCTGTCAACAGATTCCGCTGACTTTAAAATGCTATTGCAGTACAACACTTCTGACACCACCATTAGAGATGGACAGATGTGTTAATATGGGCACAACCCAACTCACAGAGAGCAAAACTTTACTTCTATTTCCCTTACTACCCTCCTTCCCTCCATTTCTCCATGCAGGGAGCCTTTTATAGGGATGCACCTATTGATAGTAGCCACTGGTGACTAGGACACTGTAACGGACCGTTTTATACACAAGAGGTTAAAAACCGTTTAGGTGATATTCCCCTTTCCAGATGCCCCGACAGCTACTGTAAGCACCAATCTCCTGAACTGCAAACTACACGAATACTGGAAACAGCCGAACAGGAAAAGCCTACAATCAGCTTACACTCCTGGCAATCAGCATACAATCCAATTCCCCCAATGACGAGACGACACTTCGTTTGAGGATCAAGCAGAACTGGTTTACTGGGGCTAACTGCCCGGCTTTTATGCAGGTCTCCCACCTGGTGGACACTCCCCTAGGAGACCAGATGGGAAACTGGGAAACATATTGGACATTAACCAATCACAAGCTTACAATCCCACAATGCATCACAATCCCTTCCCTCCTCTCTGTCCTGGAGATAATTGGGAAGTAATCCAATTATCTCCAAGGACAGAGGCAAAACTCCATTAACCACATGGTTACAATAAAACACTAAAATACAATAACATTCATAATGTTACATTTGTCACGTAAAATATATACATTCTACATATCCCCAGATAGCTTAGAACTGAGCGCACATTACTACCGAATGGCGCTCAGATACCATACATACAGTTCAATTGCCATGGAGCCAAAGTCTTTCCCATAGTCTTTCGTTACACGAATAGGCTCCATGGCATAGCTATCTGGGGTGATGCTGTTCATACGGTCAAACTACCGAATGAACAGTGATTCGGTTCCACTACTGAATGCAGAGGTAAGGAGGCTGGCGGCTCAGCGGTGTTCGCGCAAATAAGTGTCCGTTTTCAGTTCCATAGTTTGGGTGCTGAACACCGCTGGCCGTTTGGGAGTTAAAATTTCCGCTGCCACGTGTTCGGCAAACGAACAAAGGCCACCCAGCGTTCATCAATTAAGCTGCAGTTAACCGCAACTTCTGGGCGGTCAATTGACGGCCCAGTTCTCAGGTGGTCCATCGTTCGTTACTTTGTTCGGTAGACTGAATCTACCGAACACCCCGGCAGAAAGGCACGAATATGCCTTTCATCAGGGAAGATAACCGGTTTTAACTGCAGGGCCATAGTCTAAAGGGAGCAGGCGAGCAACCAGGCTTCTCCAGTGCACAGTGACGAGGTTGGTTCCACCACAGACACTGCTCCACCCGCGTGGTGGGAGAGACACATACCGGCACCACGTGGACAAACGTTCAAATGGTCACTGGGATAGTGACCTCACACAATCACTGTTACTGAAACGCTGTTTCTTCCCCTTTATTATCTTCTTTTCTTTTGATGTTAGAGAGTAATTGCAACTGTCCACTAACTAGTAACCAACTGGCATGCAACTAACCCAATAACAATGGAGACCTGAGTGTCTCACAAGCTGCTTAAATGTTCATGGAACTTGTGAGTTCCATGGTTCTATGCTTAATTGATACAGACCTGCGTGTTGTGTACTATACTGTTCTGTTCTGTTTTGCTTGACTCATACAAAAAAATGTATGGCAGGAGAACCTTGAAATAAACAGATATTTAAAAAAAAAAAAAAAAAAACTTAAAGGAAATGATGATATTAGTCTCTGCCGATTGATGAAAACGCACAATCTCCTGAATTCAAATGACGGAACACATATCTGATGTTAACTTAAATAAACAAAAATCTTCTTTACATAGTAACTTTTACAAATTAAGTCACATATAAAGGATATTTATTTATCTTTTATTGATTTAACCAGTTTTTTTTTTGTTCCAATAATAGAGTCCTCTCTTCAAGGTTAGATCCATGATATGCATTTTCTAAAACGTTATCTTTGTAGCCTATTTCTTTAAAATCATTTAAACCTGTAAGTGTCTGTGGCTGGAAAATGTCATCATCTATACAATTCCATATAATCTTCAACAGTTTTGAGACGTTCAACAGCCATGGGGAGAAGTAGCAACTGCTCTCCTCCACCTAATTGCACGGATCCATTAAGAGATGACAAGTCACTACCGGGGTAAAGTTTTGACTAGCCACACCCACGATCAATGCTGAAAAGAGTTCCAGAGCCATTGGGGCTTTGGCCAGTCAAATGTCAGGAGCGCTCAAGGATGAAATAAGGGGAGTTCCCCCTGGCTCCCAGGGAGTGTTGTTCCACACTAATTCGTAAAAGTTTTTGTTCACTGGTAGCTAAAAATATTTAAAACTGACTTAAAATTGTAGTCCAGATGACTAATTTTGCAAAAGGTTGACCACTATAGTCATGATTATTTACAATTATATGTGATGATACGGATAGTTATGACTCTGTACTTCTGTTGCATTCAAAAGTCCGTTACCAATCATGAAGGAAAATCTTTGTTAGAATGTTTGAATGTCCTTTTCCTCTTACTCAATTACTGTACCCACACCTATTATATACAATTTTTATCGCCAATAAATGGTCTTTCTAGAGATACCATTATTTTCATCATATCATATAATTTCCAATAAAAAATGAAAATATGATGACAAAATATGCTGACAAAATTTAAAAACACACTTTTTTTAACTTTGACCTCAAAATCTGTTACGTATCTACAACTGCCAAAAAACACCCATGCTAAATCGTTTAAAAATGTTGTCCTGAGTTTAGAAATACCCAATGTTAACATGTTCTTAGCTTTGTTTGGAAAGTTGTAGGGCAATACGTACAAGTAGCACATTGCTATTTCCAAACTATTTTTTTCAAAATTAATAAAAGTTACATTTTAACACTGATATCTGAATAATCCCTCAATAACCCTTCACATTTATATATTTTTTAAAGGAAGACAACCTAAGGTATTAAACTTGGGGTATTTTGACTCTTTTCATGCAACCATTGTACCACAAATCTATGCAAAAAATAAAAAAAATAATTGGTGATTTTTTTGACACATGTTGCAATTTAAGAATACATGTACTGAGAACTTTAAGGGTTGCTGCCAAAGGACACCCCAATATGTGTTCAGCAACATCTCCTGAGTACAGTGATACCAACCATGTATAGGTGTGTTGGGTTCTCTGGGGGCTAAAATACCTTATTTGGAGGGTGCGCATTTCAGTTTTCCAACTTGGCATTTTCACAGATGGTCATCATGCAACCATGTCCTATTTGGGACATTTTTGAAGCCGGCCAGTGTAATTTACCCCCATCAAACTATATATTTTTGAAAAGTAGACAACCCAGGGTATTCAATATGGCATATGTCCAGTCTTTTTTAGTAGCCATATAGTCACAAACACAAGCGAAAGCTAGCATTTATATTTGTTTGTGTATTAAAAATGCAAAAAGCTATTATGAATGTTAACTTTGGCCAGTGTTTGTGACTAAGTGGCTACTAAAAAAGACTGAACATACCCCATTTGCAATCCCGGGATAGTTTGGCCAACTAGACAACAGGTAAGTTATATGTAATAGGAATACTAGATTTTTGAGCCTTTTTTGCTTTGGTCATTTACCATTTTTCATTTTCACAGCTGGTTATTCGACTAGCTTTAGTATATACTCTTTTTGAATGGTACCTTTTTTGAACCTTGATTATCTGCTGCAGGTGAGATGAGATGAGACATAAAGGGAACACAAAAATAACATATCCTAGATCTGAATTAATTAAATAGTCTTCTCAAGTACTTTGTTCATAGTTAAATGTGCTGACAACAAAATCACACAAAAATAAAAAAATGGAAATAAAATTTTTCAACCCATGGAGGTCTGGATTTGGAGTCACACTAAAAATTAAAGTGGAAAAACACACTACAGGCTGATCCAACTTTGATGTAATGTCCTTAAAACAAGTCAAAATGAAGCTCAGTAGTGTGTGTGGCCTCCACGTGCCTGCATGATCTCCCTACAATGCCTGTTGTAACGGAGCTCCTTGTACTCCGACTGAGTACCCTCCGTTGATGGATGCTCCTAGCGCTTCCTGAGGACTCCAAGCACTGCAGCAGACACCACAACCACAACAGACTCCGCAACCGCCGTATCTTGACTGGAGTCTTGCCGTCTTCCTTCCACCCGGGATCAGCTTCTGTCCTCCAGGACTGTGTGGGAAAGAACTCTCCCTTCCACCCTGTATGAACCTCCAGCATCCAGGACTGTGTCAGGAGAGCGTGTCAGGAACAAGCTCTTAAAAGAGCTAAGTGACTCAAGCTCAGGGGAGCATGCAGAGCATAGCAATCCCCAGTGTGATTATAACAGCTCCCTCCAATAACGAGACAAGGCTACGTTTAGAGGGATCAAGAAGAACTGTCAAAACCTTTATTTCCCTTGGGACCAGCCAATAGGGTCACCACAATAACATTGTTGTGAAACCTCAATAAAATCAAAACCAGTTAAACCATAGCAGGCAACACACAGTGACTTATAACAACACAATGGCACATTTTTAAAGGGGTGGGGGAGACAATATTTAACAGTAAATATCTCACCTGCCTGCAGAATTAGCAATATGCAAATCTACCCAAATATGCAAATGAACCAGTCTTGCAATTCAGGTAGTGCATATTGCTGTTGCTACCAACAGAGGGCACTAGACAAGCTCCATAGCCAAACCCACCTAGTTGGTAGCAAACCTCAGCAGTACAGAAGAGCAGGCAATACATTTCACAGTACACACACACACACACTATAAACAATTACATTACACACACCCTGCACCTATAATGGGTACAGGGTGACTAAAACATAAGATAAATAATGCAGCCTACATAAATAGTCTGTCTGAAGGTAGACTAGGGGCTTTAAAACCAAATACAGAAAAGAGTCATAGTCACAGGGGAGGAGGCTGGCAAGCAGGCCTCTCCAGGACCAAGTGGCGAAGGGCACTTCGTCACACCTGTGCATGCTCCTGATGAGGTGATGGATGGTCTCTGGAGGGATCTCCTCCCAGACCTGGACTAAAGCATCTGCCAACTCCTGGACAGTCTGTGGTGCAACGTGACATTGGTGGATGGAGCGAAACATGATGTCCCAGATGTGCTCAATTGGATTCAGGTCTGGGTAACGGTCCATAGCATCAATGCCTTTGTTTTGCAGGAACTGCTGACACACTCCAGCCACATGAGGCCTAGCATTGTCTTGCATTAAGAGGAACCCAGGGCCAACCGCACCAGCATATGGACTCACAAGGGGTCTGAGGATCTCATCTCGGTACCTAATGGCAGTCAGGCTACCTCTGGCAAGCACATGGAGGGCTGTGCGGCCACCGAAAGAAATGCCACCCCACACCATTACTGACCCACTGCCAAACCGGTCATGCTGGAGGATGTTGCAGGCAGGAGAAAGTTCTCCACGGCGTCTCCAGACTCTGTCACATCTGTCACATGTGCTCAGTGTGAACCTGCTTTCATCTGTGAAGAGCACAGGGTGCCAGTGGCGAATTTGCCAATCTTGGTGTTCTCTGGCAAATGCCAAACGTCCTGCACAGTGTTGGGCTGTAAGCACAACCCCCACCTGTGGACGTCGGGCCCTCATACCACCCTCATGGAGTCTTACCGTTTGAGCAGACACATGCACATTTGTGGCCTGCTGGAGGTCATTTTGCAAGGCTCTGGCAGTGCTCCTCCTGTTCCTCCTTGCACAAAGGCGGAGGTGGCGGTCCTGCTGCTGGGTTGTTGCCCTCCTACGGCCTCCTCCACGTCTCCTGATGTACTGGCCTGTCTCCTGGTAGCGCCTCCATGCTCTGGATACTACGCTGACAAACACAGCAAACCTTCTTGCCACAGCTCGCATTGATGTGCCATCCTGGATGAGCTGCACTACCTGAGCCACTTGTGTGGGTTGTAGACTCCGTCTCATGCTACCACTAGAGTGAAAGCACCGCCAGCATTCAAAAGTGACCAAAACATCAGCCAGGAAGCATAGGAACTGAGAAGTGGTCTGTGGTTACCACCTGCAGAAACACTCCTTTTTTGGGGGTGTCTTGCTAATTGCTTATAATTTCCATCTGTTGTCTATCCCATTTTCACAACAGCATGTGAAATTGATTGTCACTCAGTGTTGCTTCCTAAGTGGACAGTTTGATTTCACAGAAGTGTGATTGACTTGGAGTTACATTGTGTTGTTTAAGTGTTCCCTTTATTTTTTTTAACAGTGTATATGTTACTTACTAGAGTAACACATTATACTTGTACTCATACACAGCCAGTGGTAGGACTGCTTATATCCTTAACTTATTCCAATGGACATGATACAATGTTTTATTAATTTTTTATTATTTTTTTTATTAACCATTCAATATTTGCCCCTGACATTGATTTTGGCCAAATTTAGTGATATAGAAGATAATTTTGCTCTCACATTGTTTAGCCTTGATTAGATGCCTTCCTCTATATAGTTATCACTAGAGTAGTGATGCCGCAAACATAAAATTTTCGGTTCGTGAACGGCGAACGCGAACTTCCGCAAATGTTCGCGAACTGGCGAACCGGGCGAACCGCCATAGACTTCAATAGGCAGGAGAATTATAAAACCCACAGGGACTCTTTCTGGCCACAATAGTGATGGAAAAGTTGTTTCAAGGGGACTAACACCTGGACGGAGGGGGATCCATGGCAAAACTCCCATGGAAAATTACATAGTTGATGCAGAGTCTGGTTTTAATCCATAAAGGGCATAAATCACCTAACATTCCTAAATTGTTTGGAATAACGTGCTTTAAAACATCAGGTATGATGTTGTATCGATCAGGTAGTGTAAGGGTTACGCCCGCTTCACAGTGACAGACCAAACTCCCTGTTTAACGCACCGCAAACAACCGCAAACAGTCCATTTGCACAACCGCAAACTCCCCATTTGCACAAGGTTGGATACCAAGCTAGCCATGTCCCGTTCCTTGTCCTCACTTATGTCATTGAAGGTCTCTTCCTCCACCCAGCCACATACAACACCAAGGGTCCCCAAAAGGTGACAACAAGCCCCCTGGGACGCCTGCTGTGTTTGGTCTTCCACCTCCTCAAAGCCACCTTCCTCCTCTAACTCCTCTTCTTCAGACTCCTCTCTCTGCCTTGCCTCTCTCTGCGTTATTATAAGGTGTGTTAAGTAGTACTATTCATATCAGTTTAATCCCTGTTACGTTCCCTATCAGGGGACGTGTATATGTCATCGATTTTAGGAACCGGGAGATGGAAAAAGATGCTTGGTCGGTCCTCCTACTTCAAATTTGGGGCACTGCGTGCAATCTAATGTGCCACCAGATAGGAGTTTTGTGTTAAGTAGTACTATTCTTATCAGTTTAATCCATGTTACGTCCCCTATCAGGGGACGTGTATATGGCATCGATTTTAGGAACCGGGAGATGGAAAAAGATGCTTGGTCGGTCCTCCTTCTTCAAATTTGGGGCACTGCGCGTGCAATCTAATGTGCCACCAGATAGGAGTGGTGTGTTAAGTAGTACTATTCTTATCAGTTTAATCCCAATGTCACGACTACTAGTGTGGTTCAGCACGCAGAAACTATGTAAACATATACATAGGCAAGAAAAGGAAAATAAAAGGACAGGGCATAGAATGGCTGGACTAATACGCTAGAGACAGAGAATGGTCAAAGGGAAAGCCGAGGTCAAGGAAGCCAGAAAATACACAATACCGTTTACACAAGCCAAGTCAGGGAAACCAGAATTCAGAATAACCAGGGAAAAGCCAAGATCAGGATACCAGGAAATTAGATTCACAATGATAAAGCACTCTCAGGAAACAAGGAACAGAAAACCACGACAGGGCAAGGTACTGGGGTGAGCTAGGGATTTAAATATCATGCAGCGGGCTGGCAGCCGCGATACCCTGTTACGTCCCCCTCATCAGGCCTTTTTTAGTAGAATGTATCGCCCACTGTCAGTCCCTTCGGGATCCATCCCTCATTCATTTTAATAAAGGTGAGGTAATCTAGACTTTTTTGACCGAGGCGACTTCTCTTCTCAGTGACAATACCTCCTGCTGCACTGAAGGTCCTTTCTGACAGGACACTTGAAGCGGGGCAGGCCAGAAGTTCTAATCAAGCCTGCACACCCAGTAGTCAAGGGGTTCATCGCTCCTCAGAGTGTCGATATCTGCAATTAAGGCGAGGTAGTCTACTACCTGTCGGTCGAGTCGTTCTCTGAGGGTGGACCCCGAAGGGCTGTGGCGATGCGTAGGATTTAAAAAGCTCTGCATGTCCTCCATCAACAACACGTCTGTAAAGCGTCCTGTCCTTGCCGGCGTGGTCGTGGGAGGAGGAGGATTACTTTCACCTCTTCCCCTGTTAGATTCCCGTTGTGCTGTGACATTACCCTTATACGCTGTGTAAAGCATATTTTTAAATTGATTTTGGAACTGCTGCATCCCTTCCGCCTTGCCGTAATTTGGTAACATTTCAGGCACTTTCTGCTTGTACCGGGGGTCTAGTAGCGTGGACACCCAGTACAGGTCGTTCTCCTGCAGCCTTTTTATACCAGGGTCCCTCAACAGGCATGACAGTTCCTCGTCCTCAATGATCTCACTGAAGGTATGTTCTTCCCCCCAGCCACGCACAACACCATGGGTACCAGATAGGTGACAACGAGCACCCTGGGATGCCTGTTGTGGTTGGTCTTCCTCCTCCTCCTCAAAGCCACATTCCTCCTCTGACTCCTCTTCCTCACAATCCTCTTCCAGCGTTGCCGCAGGTCCAGCAAGCGATGCTGATAAGGCTGTTTCTGGTGGTGATGGTGACCACAACTCTTCCTCTTCCTCTTCACGCTCATCTACGGCCTGATCCAGCACTCTTCACAGGGCACGCTCCAGGATGAAAACAAATAGTATGATGTCACTGATGGTGCCTTCGGTGCAACTGACTAGGTTTGTCACCTCCTCAAAAGGACGCATGAGCCTACAGGCATTGCGCATGAGCGTCCAGTAACGTGTCAAAAAAATTCCCAGCTCCACAAAGGCTGTCCTAGCACCCCGGTCATACAAATACTCATTAACGGCTTTTTCTTGTTGGAGCAGGTGGTCGAACATTAGGAGTGTTGAATTCCAACGTGTCGGGCTGTCGCAAATCAAGCACCTCACTGGCATATTTTTCGCCACTGGATATCTGAAAAGTGCGCCATGGCCGTGTAGGAATGCCTGAAATGGCCACACACTTTCCTGGCCTGCTTCAGGACGTCCTGTAAGCCTGGGTACTTATGCACAAAGCGTTGTACGATCAGATTACACACATGTGCCATGCACGGCACATGTGTCAACTTGCCCAAATGCAATGCCGCCAACAAATTTCTTCCGTTGTCACAAACCACTTTGCCGATCTCCAGTTGGTGCGGAGTCAGCCACTGATCCACCTGTGCGTTCAGGGCGGACAGGAGTGCTGGTCCGGTGTGACTCTCTGCTTTCAGGCAAGTCAACCCCAAGACGGCTTGACACTGCCGTATCCGGGATGTGGAATAGTACCTGGGGAGCTGGAGGGGTGCCGTTGATGTGGAGCAAGACGCAGCAGCAGAAGAGGACTCAGCCAAGGAGGTTATGGAAGAGGATGGAGTAGGAGGAGTAGAGGAGGTGGCAGCAGGCCTGCCTGCAAGTCTGGCGGTGTCACCAACTCCTCTGCAGAGCCACGCATTCCATGCTTGGCAGCTGTCAGCAAGTTTACCCAATGCGCAGTGTAGGTGATATACCTGCCCTGACCATGCTTTGCAGACCAGGTATCAGTGGTCAGATGGACCCTTGCCCCAACACTGTGTGCCAGACATGCCATTACTTCCTTTTGCACAATTGAGTACAGGTTAGGGATTGCCTTTTGTGCAAAGAAATTTCGTCCGGGTACCGTCCACTGCGGTGTCCCAATAGCTACAAATTTTTTGAACGCCTCAGACTCCACCAGCTTGTATGGTAAAAGCTGGCGGGCTAAGAGTTCAGTCAAGCCAGCTGTCAGACGCGGGCAAGGGGGTGACTTTGTGACATTGGCTTCTTACGCTCAAACATGTCCTTGACAGACACCTGAGTGTGGGCAGATGAGCAGGAACTGCTCAAGGCGAGAGACGGAGGGGCAGATGGTTGAGAGGGGGCAAGGAGGACAGCAGTGGTTAACGTGGCTGAAGATGCTGGACCAGGAGGAGGATGGCGGCTTTGAGTTTGTGTGCTGCTTGTACTCCTGTGTTGATCCCATATGCGTTTGTATTGTGCGATCATGTGCCTTCGCAAAGCAGTTGTACCTAGGTGGGTGTTGGACTTCCCACGACTCACTTTCTTTTGGCACAGGTTGCAAATGGCATCGCTGTTGTCAGAGGCAGACACAAAAAAAATGCCACACTGCTGAGCTCTGCAATGATGGCATTCTGGTGGTGGCAACAGCATGCGTTGATTGGCATGCTGTCTGGCTGACCCTGGGTGTCGATGCACCCGTGACTGTGCCACTAGCTCCTTGTGATGACCTCCCCCTGCTTCCAACTCGTCTCCTCCTCCTCCTCTCTGTCTCCCCATCTGAACTTTCCCCCTGTTCTTCTTCTCTTCTAGCGGGCACCCCTCATCAACCGCTTCACTTGTATCTGACAACTCAGCAAAGGAAGCAGCAGCGGGTACAACATCATCATAATCACACCGTATGTCCATGTGTGTAATGCTGCCTGACTGAGACATATCCCTGTTATCTACATCCTCTGGCAATAATGGTTGCGCATCACTCATTTCTTCCAACTGATGTGTAAATAACTCCTCTGACATATCAAGTGAAGCTGCTGTGGTGCTAGTGTTGGTGGTGGCGGCAGGCGGGCGAGTGGTAACTTGAGAGGTGCCCGAAGCTAAGCTGGAGGAGGATTGTGCGTCAAGGTTCCGAGCGGAAGCAGGAGAAGATTGGGTGTCCTGTGTTAGCCAGTCAACTATGTCCTCAGAACTTTTCGAGTTCAGGGTACGTGGCCTCTGAACACTGGGCATTATTCTAGGGCCCAAGGGAATCACAGCGACCACGACGGCCCCTGTGGGGTGGCCTGCCTCTGCCTGTAATTTTTTTTTCGATTAGTGGTACCATGCGTGCAAGCTACTGTGACAACAGATATGAGTGGCACTGTGCAGTGGCAGAAGTTGGCAGAGTAGACACTGTAGGCCTGACACACACACACTTGAAGACAACTAACTGCTTTTCAATCTATTACAGTCAAAACATTTTTTTTTTTAAATGTACACTACTGTTACACCAGATATGAGTTGCACTGGTGTGACACTGTGCCCTGGCAGGCCCTGAAACGCACACGCGTGAAGGAAACTGACTGCTATTATATTACAGTCCAAAAAGGTTTTTTTTTTTTTTTAAATGCAATCTATTGGGACACCAGTGAGTGAGTGGTGGCACTGGGCAGGCCCTGAAACGCACACTTGTGAAGGAAACTGACTGCTATTATATTACAGTCAAAAAAGTTTTTTTTTTTTTTAAATGCAAGCTATTGGGACACCAGTAAATGACTGGTGGCACTGGGCAGGCCCTGAAACGCACACTCATGAAGGAAACTGACTGCTATTATATTACAGTCAAAAAAGTTTTAGTTTTTTTTAAATGCAAGCTATTGGGACACCAGTGAGTGAGTGGTGGCACTGGGCAAGTGGGCAAAGTATATGCTGTGAGCCTGACACACAGGCTGGCAGGCAGGCAACTGCAATTACATTACACAGAAAAAAAAAAGCAGACTGATGTTCTAGCCCTAAAAAGGGCTTTTTGGGGTGCTGTCCTTACAGCAGAGATCAGATGAGTCCTTCAGGACTGTAGTGGACACTGAATACACTAGCCTAGCTATCAATTTCCCTATCAAATCAGCAGCAGCTACACTGTCCCTCCTCTCACTAAGAATGCAGCTTCACAATGAATGTAAAATGGATGCTGTTCAGGAGGTGGGAGGGTCTGGGAGGGAGGGTCTGCTGCTGATTGGCTGGAATGTGTCTGCTGACTGTGAGGTACAGGGTCAAAGTTTACTCAATGATGATGAATAGGGGGCGGACCGGACAGCGCATATGTTCGCAGTCCGTGGCGAACGCGAACAAGCGATGTTCGCCAGGAACTATTCGCCAGCGAACAGTTCGGGACATCACTACTCTAGAGTTGAGCAGACACCTGGATGTTCGGGTGCGCCGGGTATCGGCAAAAAGTTTGAGCTCGGCCACGAACTTGACTCGAACTTGACCCAGAATCTGAACCCCATTGAAGTCAATGGGGACCCAAACTTTTGGGCACTAAAATGGCTCTAAAAAAGTCCTGGAAAGGGCTAGAGGACTGCAAAAGGAAGTAAAATGGGCGTAAGAGTAGGACAAGTGCCCTGCAAACAAATGTGGATAGGGAAATAACTTATTATATTACAGTCAAAAAAGTTTTTTTTTTTTTTAAATGCAAGCTATTGGGACACCAGTAAATGACTGGTGGCACTGGGCAGGCCCTGAAACGCACACTCATGAAGGAAACTGACTGCTATTATATTACAGTCAAAAAAGTTTTAGTTTTTTTTAAATGCAAGCTATTGGGACACCAGTGAGTGAGTGGTGGCACTGGGCAAGTGGGCAAAGTATATGCTGTGAGCCTGACACACAGGCTGGCAGGCAGGCAACTGCAATTACATTACACAGAAAAAAAAAGCAGACTGATGTTCTAGCCCTAAAAAGGGCTTTTTGGGGTGCTGTCCTTACAGCAGAGATCAGATGAGTCCTTCAGGACTGTAGTGGACACTGAATACACTAGCCTAGCTATCAATTTCCCTATCAAATCAGCAGCAGCTACACTGTCCCTCCTCTCACTAAGAATGCAGCTTCACAATGAATGTAAAATGGATGCTGTCCAGGGGGTGGGAGGTCTGGGAGGGAGGGTCTGCTGCTGATTGGCTGGAATGTGTCTGCTGACTGTGAGGTACAGGGTCAAAGTTTACTCAATGATGATGAATAGGGGGCGGACCGAACAGCGCATATGTTCGCCATCCGTGGCGAACGCGAACAAGCGATGTTCGCCAGGAACTATTCGCCAGCGAACAGTTCGGGACATCACTACTCTAGAGTTGAGCAGACACCTGGATGTTCGGGTGCGCCGGGTATCGGCAAAAAGTTTGAGCTCGGCCACGAACTTGACTCGAACTTGACCCAGAATCTGAACCCCATTGAAGTCAATGGGGACCCAAACTTTTGGGCACTAAAATGGCTCTAAAAAAGTCCTGGAAAGGGCTAGAGGACTGCAAAAGGAAGTAAAATGGGCGTAAGAGTAGGACAAGTGCCCTGCAAACAAATGTGGATAGGGAAATAACTTAACATACATAAAAATTTAAAATAATAATCATGAACTAGGAGGAGGAGGTGGATGTGGAGTAGGAGGTTGAGGAGGCGGTGACCGTGGCGGAGTAGGTGGAAGCGTCTAATGAGGAGGAGGAGGTAGCCAACACTGTTTTGTTTTTTTGTTTTTTTAATTGGGGTAGCCCCCAAAATATTGGGACATATAAAAAAAGAAAACAAAGAATAAGTGCACTTGAGTATAACAATGGCTGGGTAAGGCCGGTATAAATGTCTATTCTGCACAAGGTACAGACAAGTCTGGTGGGATCCATGCCTAGCACATTTTAATAAATGTGAGCTTATCCACGTTGGCTGTGGACAGACAGCTGGTCTGGTCTGTGATAACCCTGCATTCTGAGGTGCTGGCGGTGCCCCAGCTGCATTGACGACCTCTTCCTCCTCCTCTGCCTTCGCCTTGTGCTTCCACTGAGCCTCCGGTGTCAGTTGGGAATGCCCTCAGCACCGCGTCTATCAGCGTGCGCTTGTAGTTGCGCATCTTCCGATCATGCTCCAGTGAGTGAATTAAGGACGGCACGTTGTCCTTGTAATGGGGATCCTGCATGGGGTCCACCCCACAATCAGCACAAGTTAGAATGTGGGCAACTCGGCAGTCATTGCGCAGGCACTGCAGCATGCGTTGGGTGCCACCCTGCTGTGAATACGGTTCCTCCTCCTCCTCATCCTCCCAGGCTGGACAATTGTGTACCTGGCCTATGCTGGTGCAGGAACCCACCGTCCAAGCCACTTGTGAATGACTGGCCTGATAACTTCCTCCTCCTCTTCCTCCTGTGCCACATCCTCTTCCATCATCGCCAAAAGTGTTTTTTTCAAGGAGACATAGAAGAGGAATAGTAAGGCTGCGAACGGCATCAGCGGCACTGGCCATGTTGGTGGAGTACTCGAAACAGTGCAACAGGGCACACATGGATGCCCACTCATTGGCGGTGAAGTGGTGCTGTTACGCAGAGTGACTGACCCGTGCGTGCTGCAGCTTAAACTCAACTATCGCCTGCTGCTGCTCGCACAGTCTCTTCAGCATGTGCAAGGTGGAGTTCCACCTTGTGGGCACGGTGCATATGAGGCGGAGAGTGGGAAGGCCGAAGTTATGCTGCAGCGCAGACGAGAAGCAGCAGGGTGAAAATGCAGAAAGCGCGCACAGATGGCCCGCACTTTCTGCAGCAGCTCTGATATATCTGGGTAGTTTTTCAGGAATTTCTGCACCACCAAATTCAGCACTGTTGGGGATAAAATCAGCCCGGGCCCTTTGTGGATGATGGATATTTGCCAACTCATTCAGAGCTCTGGAAATTGGAAATGAATAGCAGAGACGTGTTTAATAACCAATTCAAATTGTATTCATACGTCAGTTATATTTATACCCCATTATCATAACAGAATGGGAGGGGGAAAAATGAGCACATGGGTGTGACAATGACATTGTTTTTCACAAGTTATAAACAGCTGTTTCTAGTTATAATTCAGTGTTATATAATGTATGCATATTGGATAAAACCCAGATCATTACAAATACCGAAATCATCCCAAAATCCTTATCCTAGAACATCTCATGTAAAAATCCCTGTCCAAGAACATATCCCATAAATAGGATTTTAGGTAAATTTTATTTCCGAGAATCGGAGATACAATTCCAAATTTATTCTTGGTTCAAATTAACCTTTATATGAACAGCTAGGATATTAAGCAAAATGGATATTCATATCCTACAAGCACATGCGCCAGGCAAGGCATGTGTGTCAAACCGGCTAGGCCCATTGCTGCTACGAGATTTTGCCCATTATCGCACACCACCTTGCCGGGTTTGAGGCTCAGTGGCAACAACCACTCATTGGTCTGTTGTTCCATGACCGTCCACAGCTCCTGCGCAGTGTGGGGTTTTTCCCCCAAACATATGAGTTTTAAAACAGCCTGCTGTTGTTTCCCCCTGGCTGTGCTAAAGTTGGTGGTGAAGGTGTTACGCTGACTGGATGAGGTGGTGGTAGAGGAGGAGGAAGCAGAGTAGGAGGAGGCAACAGGAGGCAAAGAGAAATGCTCTGCATCCTCGGTGGCGGAAGGACATGCGCCAAACTGCTATCCACCTCAGGCCCAGCTGCAAATACATTTGCCCAGTGTGCAGTTAGTGAGATATAGCGACCCTGCCCATGCTTACTGGTCCACGTATCAGTGGTTATGTGGACCTTGCCACAGATGGAGTTGCGCAGTGCACACCTGATTTTGTCTGCCAATTGGTTGTGCAGGGAAGGGATGGCTCGCCTGGAAAAGTAGTGGCGGCTGGGAACCACATACTGTTGGACAGCCACCACCATCAGGTTTTTAAAACTGTCAGTCTCCACCAGACTGAATGACAGCATTTCAAGGGACACAAATTTTGAAATGCTGGCATTCAGGGCCAGGGATCGCGGGTGGTTCCTCTTTCTCTCCAGTGTTTGGTAGATGGACAGCTGAACGCTTCCATGGGACAGTGTGAAGATGATTGGGGACGGTGGCGGACGTGGTGGCACATCCTCTGCTGGGTGGCAGGTGCCACTGTCACTCCAGAGGTGGAGGAAGAAGCCGAGACAGTAGCAGAAGAGGAAGCAGGAGGAGCCTGAGACCTTTCTTGGTTTTTGAGGTGCTTACTCCACTGCAGCTCATGCTTTGCATGTAGATGTCTGGTCATGCAGGTTGTGCTCAGGTTTATAACATTTATGCCTCGCTTCAGGCTCTGATTACACAGTATGCAAACCACTTGTGTCTTGTCGTCAGCACATTGTCTGAAGAACTGCCACGCCAGGGAACTCGTTGGAGCTGGCTTTGGTGTGCTCGGTCCCTGGGTGTGGTGGACAGTAGCAGGCGTACTGTCTAGGGGATGGCTGCTCCACTTTTGCACCCTGCTCCCTCTTATGCTGGGCTGGTGCCTCTGTGCGACCACAGCTTCTTCCTCCAAACTGGACACGTCACTCGCATGACCTTGATTCCATGTGGGGTCTAGGACCTCATCATCCTCCACATCATCTTCCACCCACTCCTCAACCCTGCCCTCCTTGCCGGTCTGCACACTGCAGAAAGCCACAGCAGTTGGCACCTGTGTTTCGTCATCAGAGACGTGCTGCAGTGGTCCTCGCATGTCCACATCCTGACGCATAAGTGGTTGTGCATCAGTGCACTCAATCTCTTCAACTTCTGGGGCAGGCTAGGTGGATGGCCCATGGAAACCCCGCCAGCAGAGTCATCAAAAGCATGACTTGTGGCTCAGACTGCTTGGCTGATTTGCAAGGGGCTGAGGTGAAAGACAGATGTCAATTGGCTGCATGTGCCAACTATGAGCTTTTAGCAGGGGACCGGGTGGGAGACAATGTGAAGGAACTGAAGGCACTGCCAGCCATTAAATCTACTATCGCCTGTACTTGTTCTGGCCTCACCCTTCGTAGAGCAGCATTCGGGCCTACCAAATAACGCTGAATGTTCTGTTGCCTACTCTCACCTAAAGAAGGTGTTTCACTTGTGCGTGTAGCTGGCACAGATTGACCACGTCCTCTCCTTGCAACAGGAGCTCCACCAACACCATCAGCACCACGACCAGGGCCACATCCCTTATTTGACGCTCTCCTCATTCTTTGCATTCACCCACCAAACTAACATATGTTTTAAATTTGAATTTTTCAAAGTGCGATGTAACCACAGTATTTGACGGTTCTATTTGACTCTCAGATATGAAGTGCACGCCACAAATGTACTATTTAGCACCCAAAAAATTAGAATTTTTCAAACTACCTTGTAACCACAGTATTTGACGGTTCTATTTGACTCTCAGATATGAAGTTCATGCCACAAATGTACTTTTTAGCACCAAAAAAATTTGAATTTTTCAAAGTGCAATGTAACCATAGTATTTGAAGGTTCTATTTGACTCTCAGATGTGAAGTGCACCGCAGGCAGCAAATGTACTATTTAGCACCAAAAATATTAGAATTTTTCAAAGTGCGATGTAACCGCAGTATTTGACGGTTCTACTTGACTCTCAGATATGAAGTGCATGCCACAAATTAATTTTTTAGCACCAAAAAATTTTGAATTTTTCAAGCTGCGATGTAACCACAGTATTTGACGGTTCTATTTGACTCTCAGATATGAAGTGCAGGCCCCAAATTTTAGCACCCAAAAAAATGTGAATTTTTAAAAGTGCGATGTATCCACTGTATTTGACGGTTCTATTTGACTCGCAGATATGAAGTGCACTGCACGCACCAAATTTACTTTTTAGCACCTAAAAAATTTGAATTTGTCAAACTGCAATGTCACAGCAGTATTTAAAAATGTCTAGATGTTGCCCACTGTACTACGAGAATAGGATTAAAGTAATGTGCCTGGCACACATGCAGTTGCAAGTGCCCACCTAACAAACAGAATGATTGCTTATTTCTCTGTGGCACTGGGCTCAGGGCAGGGTACAAAAATGTAGTATAGCACCCACAAAAATAATCACTGTAGTTTGCAGATTCAACACCAGAATTCTTTCCTACTCTGTCCCTCCCTCTTCCTACACTAATAAGAGCTCATGTGACTCCAGCTTATATAGAGGCTGGGTCACATGCTGCACTGGCCCATCACAGCCTTGCCATTAGTAGGCATGGCTGTGATGGCTTCTAAGGGCACACAAGTCAAAGCTCGTTGATTGGCTGCCCTGCAGCTTTTTAGAACACGCCATTAAATCGCCAAAAACCGAACTTGAACCCGAGTTCGGTGTTCGCTCATCTCTAGTTATCACTTTTAAGCAACAAAATGCTTCCATCTAAAGATATGGGATATCGTTCAGTCTTTGAATTAAAGACATGTCTTAGTTAGTATTTACATGTGTATAAGTATTTGTATATCTTTATACTTTTCTGTTATATAACATTGAGGTTATCCACATAGGGTTGGTGGTGTGTACACTTGGCATTTGTTGTCATTTTTTAATGGATTATTTTATCTGTAGGTGTTGGGGAACACCTTTTACACCCCACAACTGTGACTCTATTGTTATTATACTGTGAACGCGCCATTCACTTACATTTTTTATTACTACTTAGTTAGTATTTAAACTCAGTGTCTTGTATTATATGTACAATAAAGTTTTTTTTAATTGTGGATGACGTGGTCACGCACGCTGACATCACCACGCTAATTTCGGAAGTAGTGGAAGAGGCGGATCCGGAAATCCAGCCGGTAACGTGCCGCCGATAAGTGATATATAAATGCAGCCATTTCATCTGTCTATTGCAGGGGCCTTCGAAGAGACACTTACGTCCCGAGCATGCAGCCCGATAGCTGCCAGACTGCTGACACACGTGACAGGAGGACTTTATCGGAAAAACGACCAACAGACACAGAGGATGACTCTCCCTTTTACTGCTTCATTTATTAATTTCTGCTACAGTCAAGGAACACCTTTAGTACTACTGCATCCTATCCCTATAACGATACTACCTGTGGTGAGATCCAACCATTTTTCTACTTTTTTGATTCAGTGCACTATTTTCAACAATTGGACTTCCTTATATATATGTTTCTACAATTTTTCAGTAGTGTTGGTTTTTTCTTATTATTTTTTCTATGGGCATATAATTTTTCCTTATTGTGCATAGTGAATGCACTGAGTGCGGTATTTATGTTTTAGTTTTTTATACCCCATTCGCAATACCTTGGGTTGTCTTCCTTTGCAAATGGTATGCCATCATGGGGGTAATTCTCATTCCTGGGCTTCTATACATTCTCAAATGCAACATAACCAATCTGGCAAATTTCAATGTGAAAAAACGGCTTTATATTTACCCTGTAACTTTCAAAACCACTATAAAACCTGTACATGGGGGGGTACTGTTATCCTCGGGAAACTTCTCTGAACACAAATATTAGTGGTTCAAAACAGTAAAATGTATCACAACACTGATATCCTCAGTAAAAGTGTTGTTTGTGAAACACTAATATTTGTGTTCAGCGAGGTCTCCTGAGTAAAACAGTCCACCCCGTGTACAGGTTTTAGGGTGTCATGGAAAGTTACAGGGTTAAATACAGTGCTAGCAAATTAAATTCACGGGACTTTCAGCCTGGGTTGTCAGACAGGTCCTTCAAATTGCAATCAATAAAATTACCTAATTATGTAAAAATATTACATAAATATGCATGTAGAATTTATATATATATATATATATATATACACACATATTTATATATTTGAAGTCTACGTGTATATTTATGAAATTATTTATGTAATTATGTATATGGATATAAGGTAGTAGGTAGGCAGCGCCAGTAATGGAGAGTAAATTAGATAAATGTTGTAGTATAGTCTATGGGATTTGAAATCCAGTAGCAGAGTTCAGGAAAGTCTTTTAAAGAGCTAATGGGCTAGTTCTAGTATGAAGTGTGTACAGTGGTATAATCCCCACTTATAGGATACATGAGGTGATGTCTTGTCTGAGGGAAGGTCATATGTAATAAAAAGGAACAGCAATAGTGTTCTCTATTTAAAATCAGGGAAGCAGAAAATAAAATATAAAGTGGTTACTCACATTTACACGAGCAGGCGGACTGCTCAGTATATAGGGCTTGAGTTGTATAATCCCCACATAGGATTCTTTGGAGTAATGTCTCACTGGAACAGGATAAAACTCAGAAGCCAGGTAAAATAAAATTAAATAAAGTAAAAGTAAAATGGCAACTCACAGTGAGGAAGTGACCAAAATACCTTTAATAAAATACAATACAGTTCACAACGCGTTTCTCCAGCAGGCTTTTTCAAGTGAAAATGCAGAGAACATAACCTGGCAAGTCTGGGTTTATAAAGGGAGTGAAACAGCTTGTCTGTTTTAAAAATGGCCCCAAAATTATGTCATAATTGCATAATTGATGATTGAAAATAAAGTTTGTGTGACGAAGTGCCCTTCGCCACTTGTGCCTGGAGGGGACTACTGGCTAGCCTCCTGCCTTCCGACTATGGCCCCTGTGCTGATAGCTGTATTTTACCCCACAGAAAGGTTTATTTGTGTATTTCTGCCAGGGCGTTCGGGACTTTCAGTATGTGAGTAGTGCTACCCCAGATAGCTATGCCTATTTGTGTAACAAAAGACTACGGAAAAGACTTTGGCTCCATGGCGATTGAACTGTATGTATGTGATCTGAGAGCCATTCGGTAATAATGTGCGCTCAGATCTAAGCTATCTGGGGATATGTTGCATGTATATGTTTTATATAGTAATTGTAACATTCTGTAATTTTATGTCTTTTTGTAACCATGTGGTTAATGGAGTCTTGCCTCTGTCCTGGAAGTTAATTTGATTACTTCCCAATTATCTCCAGGATAGAGAGGAGGGATTGTGATGTCACTGTGGGAGTGTTTTGTTTGTATTGTCTGTGATTGGCTAATATCCAATATGTGTCCCATTGTTTCATCAGGTCCCCTAGGGGAGTGTCCACCTGGTGGACACTTGCATAAATACCGGGCAGGTAGGCCTCAATAAACCTGACCTACTTGCACCTTTCTTGAAGCCTTGGCTCGTGCTTGGGGGAAGGGATACCTACACTCTGGGGATTGCTATAATGGTCGTAGATTTAGGGTGGGTGAGAGACGTCGAGACCCCGGCGCAGCTGCATCGCTGGAAGTGGGGACCGCAGTGCTGATGGTGTCGGTTGGAGTACTCGGAGTCCTCTGCAAGCGCTAGGAGCATCGATTGGTGGAGGTACTCAGTCGGAGTGCCAGAGTTCCGTCACAGTTTGAAATTCATATATAGCTAAATAACAAGAGACAATAAAATGTAGATAGAACAAATAAATATGTGGTAGTGAAAAACCAGGGTGACAAAAAGAAGTAAGATTAGACCGAATTTCTGTCATGTTATTGGCGGCCATTTATTTTGAGCATCATGGGGGTTGTAGTATGACAAATATGTGGGCGTGGGCACTTAGACGGGGCATCATAAGTGGGAGGGAGTGATTGAGAGGCAGAGAGTGAACGGGTCACGTGATCAGCGGCCTTATTAACCGGGCATTATGGGGATTGTAGTGCGTCCGTCATCATAGTGGCAGACAGGGTGTATTGAGCGTTTCTTAATGGCATTAGCCATCTATGGTGGATGAGAATAATCTTAGATGGGAGGGCATATTCTAATAATGTAAGATTTTGTGCTACCATGTGATGTGGGGGCGTGGTTTAGTGAGGGGGAGGAGGGGGGGGCAAGGGGAAAAATAAAAAATCATATATAAAGATAAAGGAAGCTTGTTAATGGGAGCAATCTTTGAGAATATGAGTTTTTTGCACAATGTATTCGAACAAAACAAGGAAACAATGCCCAAATAAGTTAAATGCAGTAACATAGGTAATTAGACTGAGACATAAGAGAAAAAAATAAATATAAAGGTCAAGAAATAAAATCTTAAGATAAAAACATAGGTTATATAAAATGACAGACATATGGTTCAATTATTATGAAAAAAAAAGTATAAGATTATTAAAGAAAATTAAAAAGATCAAAATCAAAATTTAGACCATGTGGTTCTAGAAGTTTTAAAAGGAATACCCGGTTCATTTAATTTTTGCCTAAAACATTTTTTAAATCACCACCTCTCCATGAGTTTTTACATTTTTTAATACCACATATTTTGGATTTTTATTGTGTAATAAAGTATTTTGATACAGAGTGTTTGAGAAATCCTTTGCTGATGTTGCGGCAATGTTCTGCTAGTCTTATTTTTGGCATGGTCAAATAAATGACTTCCAGGAAATTATTAAACTCCTGAACGGATCTGGGATATTTTTGGATATGTTGGTCTCCTAGATTAGGGCTATCAGGGGATGTAACATTTGTGGGGATATTATGTGTTTTGGTATTTTATAAAAATATGTGTTTTTTCTGCCTGAAGATAACATGAGTTAATACAATATCTGACTCAATTATCTCCCAGGCAGAGGGGAGGGATTGTATGCTATGTGTGGGAGTGTCATGCATTATAACACTATTGTAATTGGTCTGTGACTTTATAACATAGTTCCCCACAAGGTCCATGTGGGAGTGCCCCTTTCATGGGGATTGTCATAAAAAGCCAAGTGTGACACCATTAAAATCAGTTCCTCTTCAGCCTGAACATAGAGCCTTGTCTCATGTGTGGAGGGGACAGCTATTTTCACTCTGGGGATTGCTATACTTATTATACTCCCTTGGACTATGATCACTAGCTCTTATAAGAGCTGTTCCTGCTATACTCTCTGGTGTAGGAGAGGTTCACCCACTGAAAGTTGTATCCTGGTCTTGGGTCCAGGGTAGGGGGAGGATGGCAAGACCCCAACCAAGCTGTGGCAGTTTGTGAGGTCTACGGTTCTTATGGTGGCTTGTGCGGTGCTTATGGTACTCAAGGCGACTAGGAAGCAGCGATAGGCGGAGGCACCTAGTAGGGGGGCCAGGCGGTCCATCACAAGATCCTTTAACTTTTCCTTGTAAGTTTTATCCTGTAATCTATTAACAAATTCAGTAGCCCTTCTCTGAACTATCTCCAAAATATCAACAATTTAACAATAATGGAATCCAAACTTAAAGATTGCAGTTTATTGATAAGCCTTCAATGTGCGACAATGTCAAAAGCCTTACTGAAATCTAGGTAAGCAATGTCAACTGCACCACCATTATCTATTATTTTAGTTACCCAATCAAAAAAAATCAATAAGATTAGTTTGGCATGACCTCTTTGAAATAAACCCATGTTGTCTCTGATCTTGAAATCCATGTGATTTTAGATGTTCCACAATCATATCCTTTAACATGGTTTCCATTACTTTCCCCACTACTGAAGTAAGGCTTACTGGCCTATAGTTGCCCGACTCCTCCTTACTGCATTTCTTGTGAATGGGCACACCATTCACAAATTTATCAGAGTCCCTCTGTTAAAAAAATGCCGAAACTGCCAGGTGACTTACTGCAGATAGTACAGGCCTTCAAATGGGATGAATTTGGGATCTCAAGTAGCAAAATTACAAATTAACAAATTTGAAAATGCTGTATGATAAAAGTATAGATAAAATAATTTATATTAGTTTTGTTACAGACAAAAGTCAGTTTATATTATAACACGATGAATTATCAATCTAGCACAAAATAATGCAATCTGTCTGTTTGGGATAATTAAATTCTTTACCTTGTGTTTATAGTCATATTGTCCTGCATTTAATTGGCGATGATCCACATGTAAAGACAAATGCATTCCGTGCAAAGCAAGAGCCATGGCATACACAGCATACCTTACTAAATAAGGTTGTGGATCACGTGAAAGGTTAACAATATCTTTAAACCGTTCATTTCCTGTACAGTTCTTTAGTGTTAATTTATAAATAAAATTATAAAAGTCATTCTTCTCATGGTTTGGTGAGTTACAACAAAAATAAAGTATCCATAAGTCTTCTAGTAATGGATCATTTGGGCGATTCAGGTGGTTAGAATTACTAAACTCTATCTCCATCTTGGGAATGTAATTTATTAAAGGTATAAAACTTAAACTGCCATCCGTTAGTGCATCAAAATTTCTAAAAGTAAAAGAATAGAGCCATGACAATTTGAGTAATAGGGTTATATTTTGCAAGTTTAGTTCATTTTTATACAAAATAACAGCACAATATTCAGAACATGATCCACATGTTATTAGAACCCGAGAGGTTGATTTTTCAATAATATCCATGCCTGTAAATATCCCTTTATCATTTTTATCAGGCATTGTTATGGTATACTCAATGCAGATCCCGTGACTGGTGAGCTCTTGGCTTAGCTCTCGGAGTTCCCTCTCTCCACTTTCATCCTCCGATGTGATTATTCCAACCCAGTTCCATCCAAAAAATTTCAGCATTTTCACAATAGCTGCATGATGAGTCCGATCATCCTGAACTGTCCGGAAGAAGTATGGATAAAGTAATCTGTCACTAAGCTGCGTGTCAGTCGCTCCATAGCTGATCTAGATGGGTTAATAATATGTTTATATCTAATCATTTGACTGTTTTTTTTTGTTAATGAAGAATGAAAAAAAAATAACATTTCATTTATTTTCTGTGTGTTTATATATATATAGTTACCAGGAAAGAGTGCACTTAAGGTCTTGTAATGTAACATTTATTCATACTTACTGTAATTTTCTCTACTTTCATTATTCATGCTTGCATAGACAAAGGGCTAGCTCCGCCCCTTAGAGTCGATTGAACAGGAAAAACACAAAAACTCTTTACAACCAGTCCTAAGATCGCCAGTCAGTAACTAGCTCTACAGTAGATAAGCAAATCAAAGTAAATGAGTGGGTAGTAAATGCTGCCATAAATAACAGACAGAAAAGGAAAATGACGGTAAGTATGAATATGTGTTCTACTTTCCTTGCTAATCATAGCATCCTCTATAAATGGGAATACCCAAGCTTCAAATACAAAAATGGAAATAGCTCCAAAATTAATTTATTTAAATAATTGAAACAATTCGACAGAGATTAAAATATTGAACTGAATGAAGGACTAGACATTCAAGTTGTGCCTTATTGGCAGCCTTAACATTCAGCTTGTATTGCCAGATAAACGTGTTCAAGGAAGTCCAAGTATCAGCTTTACAAATACTGTCAGGAGAGTAATTTGTCACAGAAGGCCAAGATGAGTGCAGTGTGCCCGATACCTTTAGGTATTAGTATGGATTGGCATTGATAAGCCTTAGTGATAACTGCTACCACTCACCGTCCTTAGGTGGACGTGGCCAACGGGGGAACAAAAAGTTTAGGAGGCTTATAAGGAGCTGGGTATTTCAATAAATATCTTGGAGATCACTTTATGCAAGAACTTTGGTATGGGACACATGACAAACTTCTCCTACTGAAAAATAGTAAAGGGCGGTTCACAGGATAAAATCTGGATAAAGTCTGGAGTTCACAAGTTATTCTTGCCGAGGTGATAAGCACCAGCAACAACACTTTTTGTGTTAACAACACAATGAAAGTTCAAATATAAAAAAGGAGATTTCTGGTGCTTGTTCTTTGTATTTGTAGTAGCTTGTTTCTTTCTAAAATCTTAAGCAGAAGAGAAATTAGCTAAGTTGTTTATCTTTTTCATCTATCTTTTCTATGCTCTGTAATTATATACACCGTTGTTCTCTTTTATATACCCTCCAACTGTCATTATTTATACTCTTAGACATTTTAGATTTTTTATTTATTAATATTTTTTTTATTGATTTATTTTCTCCTGTGCCTTCATATTTTTTTCATAGATTTTTATTACTGATATTTTTATTATTTGCTGCTTTTTTCAACTGTAGAGTTAAAATATAGCCTCTCCCCTTCAGGAATTCAAGTCACAGGGTTCCCCTCTCTGTCCCTAGGTGAGTTTCACATTTTACTATTCTTCCAACTTTTTATGCTTGTTTGTACCTAGGGATGCCATGATGATGCAGCCCACATCGATCACCTGGGGTGGGCCCCAATGCCATATTTGTACACTCAGGAGGGTGTACTGTAATAGCTGGTCTGTGTTTATTTAGTTGAATAAGTCTTTACCATATTAATAAACGTCTATATTAATGAAAAGTACTAATATGCAATCTGACGTTCTTTATAAAAAATATTTATTATTTATTTTCAAAATATTTTACCAGGAAAGATACATTGAGATTTCTCTCGTTTTCAAGTATGTCCTGAGTCCACAAATCATTGCATTGTTACATTAGGATACAATAAAATACAAAAACAATATTAATACACAATAAATACAAAATCTAACATAGAACAGGTAGGAAATATATAATCAACCATGACAGGTGCATTCTGTTTTGAGGTATATAGAGAGGGATCTCTTAAAGGACTTTAGGTTTAGGGATGATTTTAAATTGTGCGGGAGGTTGTTCCACAATTGCCGTGCTCTATAGTAGAAGGAGGATCGGGCTGCTTTCTTTTTGTATTGAGGTAGATTAAGTAAAGTGTTGGTACTGGATCGGAGGTTATAGGAAGTGGGAACAGCTGGGGAAAGAATTCTGCTCAGGTAGGGTGGGAGTTTCCCAGAAAAGCTCTTAAACACAAGACTGGAAAGATGAAGGGTGTGTCTGTATTCCAGCAACAGCCAGTTTAGTTCTTTTAGCATGTCACAATGGTGGGTCCTGTAATTACATTGTAGCACAAATCGGCAGAACGAGTTATACAATGTGTTGAGTTTATTAATGTGGGATTGCGATGCAGATCCATATACCACATTCCCACAATCAATGATTGGCATCAGCATTTGCTGTACAATCTTTTCCTTTACTGTAGGGCTTAGGCAGGCTTTGTTTCTGTACAGGGCACCTAATTTTGGATAAAGTTTAGATGCAAGCTTTTCAATGTGCAGGCCATAAGATAGATTGGGGTCTAACATCATTCCCAAGTATTTGAAAGAGTGGACTGCGGTCAGTTTTGATGGATAGGTGGTAATTGTGTAATTTGTGTAATTTAGGTACTGTTCCAAAGATCATTGTGACAGTTTTGTCAGTGTTTAGGAAGAGTTTGTTTTTTGCGATCCACTTTTCTACCTCTGTAAACTGGCCTTGGAGCACAGCCTCAAGCTGCGGTAGATCGGGTTTGCTCACATAGATTATTGTGTCGTCTGCGTACATGTGTACATTTGAGGTTTGCAGACATTAGGCAGATAATTTATAAATAATGTAAATAGTAGGGGGCCAAGAATGGAACCTTGGAGAACACCACACGTGACTGGGAGAGGGAGGGAGTCGCTGTCAGAAATGGACACATATTGCGAGCCATCCGATACATATGATCGAAACCAGGTTAGCGAATGATCACCAATACCTGAGTTTTTGAGTTTGTGCAATAGAATGTCCTGGTCTACTGTGTCAAAGGCCTTAGCAAAATCAAGGAAAATAGCTCCAGTTAGGTCTCCTTGTTCCATGCCAGTTTGGATGTCATTGCAAACTTTTAAGAGGGCAGTTGTAGTGGAGTGATTCTGACGAAAGCCCGACTGATCAGGGGTCAGATAGTTTGATTGTTGGTAGTACTCACATAGTTACGTATGCATTTATTCTACTTAAAAAGCAAACAATAATATACTTAACAGATGGTATTTCTTAACAATGTTACAGAGAGTTAAAGATCTTAAGTAGTCGTCTTAATATTAACAAGTCAGGAACACATCATATCCTTTTTTCCTCATTCCTTTGTAGGCAAAATGACTTCATAACTTTTATTCAGACTCTGGCCATGTATCGGAGAGCTAGTATTTCATAGCCTACCTCCACTTGTAGATCCCAGTGAGGCTCAGGAACAAGTAGTTATAAATCCATAGGCAAGGTATCCAGCAGGTAAAACAATACAGTAGTATCCCAACAGCACTCCCAATAACTGGACGACACACAGTATCAGGAGCAGAACTAAAGATTTATTCAGCCAGTGGCCTTATAAAGCATGCTCCCAGGCAAGGGAGGGATTTCCATTCATTAACATAATAGCCAATCCTGTTCGGGTAACCTCCCACACATCCTGCATCATAATCCCCTTACCCAGAACACCAATTCCCCCCGTTTATGGATGTACCCCTAAACCTAGGGGCACCACTTTAAATTATACATCCCCTGGTAGCTCTGATCTGGGTGAACAACATATCGCAAAGTCACCCAGATCAGACCAGGGGTTCGGGAAATTCATGGAGGGAATAGAATGACCGGGAAGAAATAGCCGAATTGGGCTCCATGCGATGGGGCCCTGTGGTCGGTCCTGGAAAAAGGGAATTAATAACACGAAAGCCTCTAGCTATAGAGACTGGGGAGGGTTCGCCTGAACCCCCTTGTTCGGTTGTTCCTGTCTACCGAACGAGGGGCCGTTCGGTAGTTTGGAACCGAACGGACCGGGCTGGTGGAGGTCTCAGCGGTGTTCGCCTAGTCGAGTGTCCGTTTTGAGTTCCAGACACTCGACGGTAAAACACCACTGTTCGGGAATTTTAAAATGTTCGTTTCCCGAATGGCGGCCACCCCCGAGAACGAACGATTACTATACAGCTTGTCAATTACCCGTTCGCAACAATGTTGCAACGGGTAATTGAAGGCACACTTCACACCGGGGAGGTCTGACTGTTCGGTAGTTTCATTCCCTTATTTGTTAGAATGATTCTACCGAACAATCAGACAAATACATCACATTAATACACATACACTTTGCAATTAGACAAATACAGTATAAACTAACACAATTCCCAGGACAGCCCAGTGCCATCCGCTACAGGCCACATTAGGAAACTCGCCATATAAGGACCTTTCCCCCAATCTCCCTATACAGCACATTCCAGAGCCCTCATGGTACAGAATAGCAAACACCATCTGTTATTTTTAACCCATTAGACAGCCACACCTTAATATGTATTTGAATAGGAACATATAGAATACACAATATTCTACATGTACTATGAATATTCAATTCAGGGCACCCCCAATAATAAATACAAACAAAAAAAACCCTTGTTTCAGGCAGAGAGGGTTTACCTTCTCCCTTGTCCCTATAAGTCCATAATAATATAAGTCCATAATACAAGGTTCAGTTTATTTTTTTTATATTTGACGTCTCTCATTTAATCCCCAAGTTGTTGGGCGGCCACCATGTTGGTACACCTATAAGGTATACTGTTGCGGCCATCTTGGGACTCTTTTAAAGATATATTTTCTTTTTGCCATCCTTTTTTTTTTTAATAAATATAATGTGTTTTAATTATATTTTAACACTAGAAGGTAAGATTCTTATATTCTTATATTCCTTCTGCTCATGAACAACTTCAGTGGAGGTCAGAGTTTAATTGTCGATTTCATGAAAAAAATCATGAGATGCTCCAAAGCCTAACGAGTTCCTGTTAATGCGGAAAGTACCAATATGTGCACATTCAGTGTGTTATAGCTGTTACCTTTCTCTACGCCCGCTTAAAGGATGCTCAGAATAGTGACAAGGCGGAGTAATTCCAACCCTCTGTTCTTGGGAAAAACAGACAAAGGCAAGCCAAATCTTGTAGTAAGTGTAAAAAGTTGAATATTTATGGAACTCATGGAAGGTCTTATTGACAGTTTCAAGGATGCCTTTTCCAGTTAGAGACTCCTACTCAATCTTCAGACAATCAATCCCCGAGCTTGTGGATTTGGATGTCTGGTCATACTGGAATTTCCTTTGGTGGTTCCTGACTCATCTATCTCGCCATAAGGAACCAGGGCCGACGCAGCCAGAAGGTAAGTTAGCTCTCTGGTTGAAATATCAAAAAAAAATTTGGACCTGGTTGCTCTGAGATGTCATATCAAGTCTATTTGAGTTGTCCACCCAAATCTGAGTCAGCCTGGATAAATACTTTCCTTTTCCATGGTCACTCAGCTCTGGTAGTCTGCAAATGAATTGTGGACTCCAGAAAGGGGGACTGTAGTTAAACCCTGAAAATCATTTTAGGCTCTAATTTCATCAGCAGCAAGTAGCTGTGAGTAACACCTTGATGGTTGATATAGGATACAAACACTCTGTTGGCCAAGCAAATTTGGATCCACTTGTTCTTTAGCAACTCCTTTAACTGTAGAAGAGCCCTGAAAATGGCACATAATTCCACAACCAGTACTTTTTAAAAGGTCCTGAGGCCAAATGGTAGGGCACAAAATTGAAAGTGGTATTCTCCTATAGCAATTCTGAGGAAACATTGATTACCTAGGACTATTGGGATGTGATAGTATGCATTCCCTGAGATCTATTGATACTAAGAAAGTGTTCCTTTGAATTAGTGGGGAGATGGATGTGATGGACTACATCCTGAAGGCTCTGACATCCAGTCTCTTGTTGACCACTCTAAGGTCCAGTATTGGTCTTCACGTACCTCTGCTTTTTTGCACCAGAAAGAGAGGTGAATATTATTATCTCTGGAACCACTCTTCTTAAGGAACTTGAGAGATAACCTTTTATTCTCAGTCTGGTGCAGTACCTCACAATGCCGCTACCTGTCTGTGGTGCTATTACAGGCTACTTTACCCAGACTGAGATGTATCTCTGTTCCCAGCTGGCCTTACTTTGTAATTAACTTCCACCTATTTAGTTGAGCTTCACCCTCTCAGATTTGCCAGTTCATTAATGTTATGTTGTTGGTCTTGTCTTGGGTTCCCTATATCTAAATGCCTGTCCTGCCTTTCCTGTATCCAGAGGCCTTTCCTGACTTCACTGTATCCAGAGGCCTGCCCTGCCTTCAGTGTATTCAAAGGCCTGTCCTGCTTTCCATGTATCTAGACACCTGTCCTGCCTTTGCTGTATCCAGAGGCCTGTCCTGCCTTCCCTGTATCCAGAGGCACTTCTGCTACATTCAGTTATCTGTGTTTTTATTTTATTTAACTGCCTTTCTTAGATATCAATATATTTAAATATACTTATTTATTTTGCCTTTATTTGTGTGTATATTAATTTATTTGCATTCTGGGTATGACCCTACACCCCTTCCCGACCAAACCTCTGACAAAATATGTTCCTTTTAATGCTCTTGTTTTTGGTCTTGCTGTCGGAATTCAAGTTGATATAATCATGTTTCCTTTGGGCCTTTGAAGAAATTCCAGTCTTTAACTCATTTGAGCTATGGATAATACCCAGGTGTCTTTGAAAAGAAAGTCTGACTCCTATTTCCAATGGACAGTCAGAAGTTCTTTCTTGAAGGGCAAAATGACTGGTTCTTAGGCCTGTTAGAGTGTGGAAAGGAAGGTTGACCAGTTGCTTCTAGTGTATTCTCTACTGCGTCCTTAACTCCACGTATACTAAAATTATTGGTGTCTGGAGGTTCTCCTGCCTGACTATGCGGTGCCAGGCTTCTTTGATCTTCTGTGCTGGGGTAGAAACACTTTGAAGCCTTTAGCCACTTTCTTCCAAGGTCTTCCTGAAAAGCAGCTCTGCTTCAAATGGAATGGTGCAGAATTTAGACTTGGAAGAAGAGTCAGTGCCCTAAAAATGGAGCCATAGAACTCTCCTGCTCTCCTAGCTGCTATTGATAAAGCCATAGTACAAGAAAATGTGGAGAAGTCAGTTGCCACATGAAGATCCCAAATTCCATCTCAATATTGTCCCTTTCAATACCTCTATCCACATCTGCATCAAGATCTTTAATGCAGTTTTACATGGCTGTAGATACTGCAATGAGAGTTACTGATATACAACATCCTGCTCTTAATGTTGTATAAATCTTGGGCAATTCTGCAGATCCATGGAGATCATATAAAGGCTGGAGTGTATCTCTTTTAAAGGGTAAAGTCTGGCCAACTTAACTTGGAAGGGAACCCGTCTTTACGATTTCTTCCATACAGAAGTGGCAAACTCCCTTGTAGCTCTGTGCAGGGGAAAGGGTAGCTTCTGCTTATTAAAGGACCACTATAGTGCCAGGAAAACAAACTTGTTTTACTGGCACTATAGTGCCCTGAGGGTGCCCTCACCCTCATGGACCCCTCCTGCCGGGCTGAAGTTGGAGGAAGGGGTTAAACACTTACCTTTTTCCAGCGCCGGGCTCCCTTGGCGCTGGGGACTCTCCTCCTCCTTTGGACATCATCGGCTGAATGCGCATGCATTCAGTCAGTCCATAGGAAAACATTCTCAATGCTTTCCTATGGACGCAGTCGTCTTCTCAGTGTGAAAATCACAGTGAGAAGTGCGGAAGCGCCTCTAGCGGCTGTCAATGAGACAGCCACTAGAGGCTGGATTAACCCATATGTAAACATAGCAGTTTCTCTGAAACTGCTATGTTTACAGCAGGCAGGGTTAACCCTAGAGGGACCTGGCACACAGACCACTTTATTAAGCTGAAGTGATCTGGGTGCCTACAGTGGTCCTTTAAGGTTTATGCAGTGTTTGTCAGATCCATCCACTTTAGGTAAGTCCTCAGAGATCTCTAGCATGTTTCTCACCATTAATATCAGTTTGAGAGCATCTTCACTTCACTTCACTGGACTCCACCTGATCAATGATAACAAATTCACCTGGTTGGTCAATCATATCTGAGCCTGAAGAATATGAGGACTCTTGTCTTTGTCTGAGTCTCTTCACAGCTCAAGCTTTGAAATACCTTGAGCAAATTCCTTTCTAATCCAGGTCAGTACATCTTGTGGCTTAGCAGGCATAGGAGAGGCTGAAGCATCTACCTTCTGGAGACAGTCAAGGCATAACTGCTCACCTTCCACTGCTTTCCCAACACAATCAGAATATGGTTCTGGGTGGAGAGGATACCATACATTCTTCTTTACTAGAAAGCAATTGAATAGTAGTCCACTATAGATGCCTATAGTGGTCCTTTAAGGTTTATGCAGTGTTTGTCAGATCCATCCACTTTAGGTAAGTCCTCAGAGATCTCTAGCATGTTTCTCATCATTAATATCAGTTTGTCAACTGATTTGGAATCTAAAGCCTGTGAGAGGATCTTCACTTCATTTCACTGGTCTCCACCTGATCAATGATAAGCTTTGAAATACCTTGAGCAAATTATTTTCTAATCCAGGCCAGTACATCTTGTGGCTTAGCAGGCATAGGAGAGGTTGAAGCATCTAGCTTCTGGAGACAGTCAAAGCATAACTGCTCACCTTCCACTGCTTTCCCATCACAATCAGAATATGGTTCTGGGTGGAGAGGATACCATACATTCTTCTTTACTAGAAAGCAATTGAATAGCAGTCTCTTAAAAATAAAATATTGCGTATATATATATTTTGCTTATAGTATTGACAATACATACTTACCCACATGTAGAAAAAGTACATGGGTTCTAGGAGAAGAAGCCATACTGGGCCAACTACAATATATAATGGAATATATAATAAGAGCTCTCAAAAGCTTAGTAACAACCAGAATAATGACAACATAATAATTACCTGTGGCATAGTACTAAAGTACAGATGGCATTGTCAAACATCGTCTTTTCCAAGCTGCAGGCCAATCATTTATCCAGACTGGTTTTAAACAGATCTTAGCCATGCCTCAAATTCCCTTAAAGGGACACTATAGTCACCAGAACTACTGCAGCTTATTGCATTTGTTCTGGGGAGTAGAATCATAACCTTCAGGCTTTTTGCTGTAAACACTGTCTTTTCAGAGAAAATGCAGTGTTTACATTACAGCCTAGTGATAACTTTACTGGCCACTCCTCAGATGGCTGTTAGAGATCCTTCCTGGGTCATGGCTGCCTAAAATGCATCCAAACATTCAGTATCTCCTCCCTCTGCATGCAGACACTGAACTTTCCTCATAGAGATTCATTGATTCAATTCATCTCTATGAGGAGATCCTGATTGGCCAAGGCTGTGTTTGAATTGTGCTGGCTCTGCCCCAGATCTGCCTCCTACAGTCTCAGCCTATGAAGAAGCATTGTGAATGGATCAGGCTATCACTTCTGCCGATGTCAGCAGGCAGTGAGCAGATCTACAGGAAACAGGAACAAAGCCTGCAGCTGCAGACTTGAATAAAAGTAGGATTTTACTATTTTAGGGGGAGGCATGAGGGGCCAGGGGGGCTAGATGGTGGTTTTAACCCTCTAGGGTTTAGGGATACATATATAGCCTCCAAGATTAGTTTGGGATGCTTTTATACAATTTCCCTACATTTTTGGCATTTTCCCTTAAGTTGCATCATCACTGTCAACCCTTTAAGATGCGAACAGTCCATGCGCCAGCATTGTCCGCAATCCACGCATATATGAAGACTTGAGATTAAATACTAGGAGACACTTGGTCAAAAGTGGCCCTTTTAACTCCAGGGAACTGGGATAAAATCACCAGGACCAAGGCGAAACAGCAGCAATGAAATACAAAGCAATATAAAGGAAATTTAAAGGCACAAAACTCTAAAAACAAAAAAGAGAATTAATTCAAGAAAATTAAAATAAATTAAGCAAATAACCTAAAATAAAATGCATAAGTAATAGGCAGCAAAAAGGCTTCCATCCTAAGAAACCAGGAAAACACTGGAGATCTTAGAACTAGTTCTTACATTTAAAGATTCTTGTGTTTTTCTTGCAAGAAGCTGTAAGTGGCAGAGCCAACCAATTTGTATAGACTGCCATGATTAGCCAGCAAATATGTATGTAGGTATATATATATATTTGTGGCCGTATACAATAAGTTGAGTTATAGTAATAGGGGTGTAAGTCGGTTGTGGTATGCCGGAACTGACATTCTGGTAGGGCTGTAAAAGAGGACCCACCAAGATGAATGGCTTAATAAAGGGAGTGGTAGGTGGGCTGAACCAGGCATATATGTATGTATGTATACATGCATATATGTGTGTGTATACAGGGGTAAACATATGTGTATGTGTGTATATATAAATATAACACACAAAATCCAACACACTCGCTCATTCACTAAACAGTAATTTCAAGTCTCACAGAATGTAATAGTTTTATTAAAAACACTTCACCTAAGAATAAAATAATGGGGGTTTAGTTACAGTATATGATTATACATTGCCTTAGCCTGCCACAATGTCAATGTACCTCATTCTTTGCAGGTCCTATTCTAGCAATCTAATGGTTAGATGGTGTTTTTAGCACTATCGGGTCAGGAAAACATGTTTGTGTTCCTGACCCAATGGTGTTCCTTTAATATGAGTAAAATAAAAAAAAAGTGTAAGAAATTAAAAATTGTGTTATTTTCTTAGTTCAGCATGGCATTTAACTGTGTAGAATACACATATTTGTGTTAAGCGAATTCTGATGAGTATAACAGTACCCCTATGGTCAAGTTTTATGGTGTTTTGAAAAGTTACGAAGGTCGAATATAGCATTTTTTCCTTTTCAGTTATTACACATTGAAAATTTCCAGATTTTTTTATGGGACTATGTTGCATTTGAGAAGGTATTCCAGCCCGTATGGCTTGGGAGTCTGAGGGGTCTGCACAGGATCTTAGCTGCTCATGGAACTGCACTCTTCTGGACAGCAATCACAGATGTCTCACGTGGAATCTGTTGGAATCTACCCTTTGTTGAATGTCCCATCTGGACTTAGGCTGGACATATTCATCTTCTGTGCAGATGTTCCAATAATTATCATCTAATTATTATATATATATTTCCATTCTAAGTGTATTTTGATATTAATATATGTATATTAATAACAAAATAGACTAAGAATGAAATTATATATATCTAAAACCAGCTCGCAAAAGCTACAGATCTCTTCTCTGAAGACTTTGCAAGCCATCCCTTTCTAAGCCATCTAGACGTTCTGTGTGGGGCATTACTTACCTCCACCGAACCGTACAGACTCTTTCCTGCCTGGCAGTCTGACCACTCCACGGTCGCATGGCACACTGAAGGAGACTCACCTTCCTTGATCCTAGCACACCTCCTCCTGCCGTGGTCTGACTGAACTATGCGGCCATGTGGCAGGACGTCTATATATAGATATGGACGTGACGTCATGCCCACTCTTAGTGACCACGTCATCATTGCAATCCTAATCTGTTTTGGATCGCTGTGATGAAGCTATCAGAACATAGGTAAGCATATTTAAGGCTTGTTTTAGCCCCCATTCATTGCCCTATCATGGTTTTTGTTAGTTCCTCGTTTAGTGCTACTAGTGATTCCCTTGTGATTTCCTGTGTCTGGCTTCATATTTGACTTGTGCTTTCTGGTATCCTGATCACGGCTTCATATTTAATTGTGATTTCTGGTGTCCTGATCTCAGCTTTGTATTTGACTCATGATTTCTGGTATCCTGATCTCAGCTTCGTATTTGACTCGTAATTTCTGGTATCCTTGCCTCGGATTTGCATTTGACTCGTGATTTTTGGTATCCTGACCCGGTTTTGTATCAACTCTGAGTATTCCTGTTATTTTTGTCCTTGATTTATTTCTCGACCTTGTTTCTGGTTGTATAGTTATGTTAAGTCCTGCCATTCTAAGGCTCGGTAATACGTCTTTTGAATCTACCTTTTGTGGTTTCCTAAATCTTTCATGTTGGGTTACGACTCCCGTGACATTACGATAGGGCCAAATTGACCCAGCAGGAATGGGAGTTCCACGGAATCCTTGCCAGGCTAAATTTGAGCAAATTCACCATAGAATGGACCAATTCGCTTAGGCCTTCCAGACCTTGTTAGCCAGAAATGCCCACATCTTTCCTAAGAACCTTCCACCAATGTCTACCCAGCCTGTGCCTGTGGTGATTAATGCTTTTGGTTAGAACAGTATGACCACCAGCCTGACACCAAGTCCTAGATATGGTGGTGATACGAAGACCAAATAGAGTTCCATTTTGAAACATCTCCCAGGTCTTTTCATAAACCAGATAGAGTTCCATTTTGAAACATCTCCCAGGTCTTTTCCCACTAAAAGATCCAAGGTCGGGTTCTTTATGCACCAGTTAACTGACAAGGCCTCGGAATGGGCTATTCCGTTATGGAAGGCAAACAAGGACTTAGTTAATGATTACAAGACCTTTGTAAGAGCATTCCATAAGGTGTTTGATCCATCTGGCAGAGAGAATAGTGCAGCTAAATTTCTTATAAGGATTTAGTTGGGGAACAGATCCTTAGTGGATTAGGTGATCAGTTTCCCCATTTTTGCCTCTGAGGTGGATTGTGTTTATGGAAGGGGTTAATGAAAACATTCTGGATGAGGTGGCAGCCCAAGATCATCCAGTTCTTCTTGAAGACCTTATCAATTATCTAATTGACATTGATAATCGACTAAGTGAAAGAGTCCAACAGAGGACTCGTGTTAGACGTCCTGCTGTTACCATAACCCCTAGGGCCTCAGTCCCTGATGTTCCTCCTTCTACAAATACTGAGCCCGTGCAATTAGGTGTGACAAAATTGTCTGAGGCTGAGAAACAGTATAGAAGAAAACCTATACTGTGGCCAGAAGCAGCATCTTAGATTGAATTGTCTGGTGCGTCCAGAAAACTGTCGAACATAAGGTAGCTCAGGGGACTGGCTTTGGGTGTAACATTAGAATCCCCTTTACTGCCTCATAAAAGACTACTTCTCACCGTTTCTTTGGGTGAGAAGTCTATAGACATTTTAGCGCTCGTAGATTATGGAGCAGCTAACAATTTTATAGGAAGTTACATCCCTTCAGAAAGAAGGAGACACCCTTGGCCATTGAGGCCATAGATGGTAGACCTTTATATTCTCCGTTAACCACACATGATACAGAATAGTTGAGTATGCCTTCTGGTATTTTACACACAGAGGATTTGTGTTTTCAGGTGATCACCTCCCTTTCTTCATTAATAGTACTAGGTGAACTTTGGTTATGTCTACACAACCCCACTATTTTTTTTTTGTAAATATAGTTTTTATTTTCAACTTTCAAGATGTAGAATGCATCTGGTATCTTTAAACCATAAGCAGTTGTGGGACACGCAGGTCCCCAAAGAAACATTACCATAAGACACGTGTAGGTCTCTGATGTGCCATTTACTGTCATCACAGGAGACTCGCACATACCATTGTACTGCCTTTGCTGGACACGTAGGTACCTTCAGCATAAGAACATAACCGAAACCCTGACTTGAGAGTAGTCAAAGAAGTTGGATCACCAGTTGGTGCTGTGTTGCCATGTGGCAGCCTCAGGGTCTGATGGAGAGGATGGGGTATGTGGTACGGTGGGAAGGGTAGTGGGGAAGGCCACTGGTGTGGCAAGGTGGGAGTACAGGTGTGGATCCATTAGTTATGGGGCATACGGTAAGGGGTTTTGTCTGTCGTGCATGCAGGGAAGGAGGAGCAGGGGGGTCTCAAGTACTGTGGATGGGTCTTGCAGGTGTGCATCATACTGTTTCCTATGTTTGTGTGGGGCTTACCAGTCTCTGAGGACGTGGGGCTTGCTTGAGTCCTGACAGACTGTCATGTATTTTTTGGCATGTAGGCTGTCCCCTGGTTTGCCTTCAGTGTTCCGTTCAGTCAGGGTGGACCAGGACCAGACTGGGGACACGAAGCAGCCCTGGAAAAAAAATATATGGCAGCCCCATAAGTCATTGTGCTATGTAGTGTGTGTTATA